CACACACACACCATCACACACACACACACACACACACACACACACACACACACACACACACACACATATATATATACTGTATATTGTATATACATTTTTTATCACAGCTCATTAATATTCAGCTATAGTCATATGTTGTCTGCTGCAGATGCTGATTAACATTTGTTGGAGATCCACAGATGATGATGCACAATTTAAAACATTTGCATCAGGTTGCCAAAAGAAAAAAAAAATTCACTTGTAGCTTTTGAACAAATTTGCTGTTTAAGTTGCAGCAAAAAAAGCATCTTTTTTCTGGAATAAAATAGTGAATGTCTCCAGAGTTTCTCCAAGTTATGGATCACCGGTGCAGCCATGGGGCTCTTGGATGTTCCGTAATTTAGGTTTGATATTCAGTCCACAAAGACAGAAATAAAAAAAGTTGTTTTCAGGATATTGTTTTGGTGATTATTGATCGTTTCGATGTTTCCTCACTGTGTTAGTCACCATCGATTCGCTCTACAAGGTGACAGAAGGCGGTCAGTCAGACATCTTCCATCGGCACGCAGAGGGCAGCTTCGACCAGGCCTGCTGTTTCACCGTGTATCACGGAAACCACATGGAGTCCCTCGACCTGGTGACGTCAAACGCAGAGGAGGCCAGGACCTGGATAACTGGCCTCCGGTACCTGATGGCAGGAATCAGCGACGAGGACTCTCTGGCCAAACGGCAGCGGACACATGACCAATATCCTTTTGACCAAGCCGCAGCAGGCACAGGTGGACTGACAGCATTTTGTTTCAGATTATTCATCCTGCTCTATATTACAACTTTAGATCTTAATAAATTGACTCAAAATGAAGTAAATTTCAAGTTTTACCTGATTAACTCCATTCAAACTGATTTGTTTGAGTTTTATTAAAGCCCGCCTCACTTTCCTTAATGTGTGTGTGTTTGACGTGGATGAAGCAGACGTTTGAGGAAGCCGACAAGAATGGAGACGGCCTGCTGAACATCGACGAGATTTACCAACTTCTTCACAAGTTAAATGTTAATCTGCCGCGCAGGAAGGTCAAGCAGATGTTTCAGGTCAGAAATCAGAACGTCTCCAATTTATTATAGAATTAGCTGTAATTAGTGCATTCTGGAGGAAGAAGTGTGACACATTCTCCTCACTTTGCTACGTTATTTAGTGCTAAAATATAAGTTTGAAGTTTTGTTCATGTTATAAAGTGGGATAAATGAAGAGATGGCGCCAAATAGAAAAATCAGAAACAACTTTTTTGTTGTTCTACAGTTAAGTTCAGGGAAATTTCATTCCGTACAGCCGTCTAGAAGGATAGACGGAAGTGTACTGGGGCTTCAGTTGTCTATGAAGTGCTGCCCTTATCGCTTAGACAAGAAAAGGGAAAGAAAATCATGAGGAGACAGAAAGATGGTGAGATTGTCCATGAACACTTGTAGATAGTTTCCATAGTCCTGATAAAGATGTTACATTGTCTCTCAGCCATCCACTCTGATAAGGGTCACAGGAGTTCACTCGGGTGGGGGTGGTGGTGCGTGTGCAGAGCGTTTTGTTTCCATAACATCCAAGGAGAATTGAGCTAATTAGCCTTCGAAGGCCAGTTGCAGATTTCAACATTATTTTGGGTCAGGCCGAGCTCGTTAATTTCCGCGTCTGCCTTGACAGTCTCACTAGTACATCTCATGGAGACTCCAAACAGGCAAATTGTGATTACTTACGCCGAAGTCGGGCTTATAACTTCTCCTTCCAACCGTCCGTGAACACTGCCAGACATTCCACAGTCCTGCCTGCTCAGCTCTGATACAGGTCCACAGACAGTTCACACAGAGTCTGAGTTTTGCCATTTCCAGAATTTTTTGATAATCCAGATTTCCACGGACTCCAAAAAGCAGAATCCAGTTATCATAAATCCAGTTATGTTTCCTAGAGGGCTCTCCTTCACCCTGTCTTCTTTAATCAATTGCGTTGAGAGACCGGCTGAACAAATCCATAGTTTACAATTGGGAAGGTACGCAAAATGGGGCTCTGAAAAGGGTTCACAAGACAAATAGCAAAGCAGGGGTGGAGAGAGGGAAGAAGAGCGACAGTCTTTGTCGAGGGCAAGTCAGAATAAAAAGAAGCTAAAAACATTAATGCTGATCATTTTATTTTTGAGCAAAACATATTTCACTTCTGCTGTCACATTGCTGTTACACAACTTTCGTTGCATGATTGAATTTGGTCAAGCAAATGTGCCAGAAAAGTGCTTTTACATAAAAGAAAAACGCATAAGGAGGAAAAGGATCAAATTATAAAATAGTTGTCACAGTGAGTAATGTCACAAACAGCAGATCACTGCGTTCTGTTGAATCTGTATTTGTTTTTTATTTACCAGAAATGTGTCTGTTTTAATTAACCTTAGCAAACACAAAGCTAGCTATAACTCTGGAAACTTAGAAGATTTTAAGCTAAAGTTTAGCTTGGTAGTGGCTGAGACAGATTTTTTTTTTTAACATGCAAAGTGATGCTTTAGTTTCCAATTTAATCTGGATTATAACAGCTAAATTGAGTTCAGAAAAATTTCAGCGAAGCAAGTTTCCAAACGGTCATTCAGAAGAAGTTGAGCAATAAAACTACTTTTAACTGTTCAAAGATCAACATAGTTTTACCACAGCTGCAGGAGTCAGATAGTAGCTAAAATGCAGCTGGATGGGAAAAACCAATAGTAAGTTATAAGTATTCTGTACTTCCATTGTTTTTTTTTATTTATCCTGTGCATATTTCTGAGTATATTCCGAGCATCTTCAAGTCTGAAATGTTTTTTTGTTTTGACTTGAGGCTTTGCCACCGGTCATCTGTCCCAAGCTGATAATAATAGAACACGCTAAGCTTGCCTCTGGACAGAAAAAGAAAAACCTGCTTACCCCAAACGTCATCCTAGCAAGTGCATTAAAAAAATGAAGACATGTGTATAAAAAAGGGTGGTGGTGGAGGTGTTGAATAAAAACCAACCAAACAAAAAACAAACTACTAAAAGATGTAATTCTGCTTGCCGAGTGTGTATTTCTCTGCTAATGGATACAGGTGTGACAGGTGATTTATTCAAGTGACATTTGTGCAGGTATAAGCTGTTAGCTGTGGAGAAACAGGTACTCCTAAAAATATCAATGATGGCTTTGAAATTATTCAGCTTCAGTTTATTCACACACACACAGAAAGATATATATAATACATAACTTCAAGATAACAGTGCGTGAATCAGATCTCCAAACAGCTTTTAAAGCTTATAGACGGAGCCTGGGTACATATAATTACATCCAGTTTAAGGTATGGAACACCAAAATGCTCAAAATTAATTAATAATAATTATTAATTAATTAATTAATTAATTATTAATAAAAATTAATACATCATGAAATAAGAAAAAAATATTAATTTATTTTATTTTATTTCAAAATTGTTTTCCATGGCTTATTTATTTCATAATGCCACTTTTCAGCAGAATGACATCAGCTGTCAATCAACGTCAGTGGGTTGGACCTTCACGCCCACTGGCTAATCCTTCCCATCAGAAACACACCTTTGCTATAATTTAGAGCAAATGAAGAATCATTTTTAGGTGTTAATCTTGTTAAATTCAAAGAATTAAATCAGCGAGTCCTCCCGTGCGCGTTCCCGTGAGCGTTCCTGCGGCGCCGATCAATTTTTGGCAGTCCATCACTTTTTGTCACGACACCTGTATCTTCTGAGAACATAATCCTCTCTATTTGATCTGCTAAAGTTACCTGAGCTGAAAGAAGTTCATGCAACTCTGCCATCCTTCATGACTTTTGACCTAGCATGTCGCTGCTAGCTGCTATGCTAGCTGTACCAGCTAGCAGCAGGAAAACGAATGGGCGTGAAGGATCAGCCAGTGGGCGTGAAGGATCAGCAAGTGGGCGTGAAGGATCAGCCAGTGGGCGTAAGGATCAGCCAGTGGGCGTGAAGGATCAGCCAGTGGGCGTGAAGGATCAGCCAGTGGGCGTGAAGGGCCAACCCACTGACGATGATTGACAGCTAAAGCCATTCTGCTGAAAACTGGTGTTATGAAATAAATAAGCCGTTATGAAAAACACCATTATGAAATAAAAATAAAAAAAACCTAATTTTTCATAATAATGAGCTTAGATACTTATTTCATAATGCTTTATTTATTTATTTAATTTTGAGCATTTTGGTGTTCCTTATTAAGGGCCCTCAATGTGTGTCACACATTCCCATTTCCAATGTAATACAGCTGATCACTTTTGAAATTGTGTTCTGATAAAAATGTTAAATGCTACTTTATTAGCCGTGACATCAGTCTTATATTAAAGACTATAAATATAAAAAAAGAGATTTCCTGCGTGCTAGGCTAACAGTTAGCTAATTTTACAACATTTTCAGGCTTATAAAACAACTCTTTCTCAGAAGCTGATGTAAAAGAGCACTGCATCAGCTAAAATTAGACCTCTATTTTTGCATTACTTTGTTCAGTTTGTTGCTGTTTTCAATCGAACAATGTCTGTTTCTATCCAAGTGTAGGTGTGCTGAGCATAGACCGTCTGAACTGTTGGTGTCCTGACCTTCTGAGTGTACCAGTCCGCTGGGAGTTGAGTAAACTTTGGACTGACTAGACGTGCAGATACATTCAGCAGCTTTTGTGCCTCTTTTTCCACACTCCGTGCTCTGATAAGAAACTTATTACTGATAACTTTGAGCTTCACCTCCAAAATGACCAGACTTCATATTTAAGGCACCCAAAATGACACTGAACAACAGTTATTTAAAGCATTTTATTTCTGATAATGTTCAAATAATTAAAAGTTTGTTTGTTTTAATCTGGACTCAATTGTGATTTGAGTCAGTTCTGCATCTAAAAGCCCGTGTGACTACTAGAATCTAAATTTGAATGGGTAATGTGATTCAAGACCCACAACTCAATCATAAAAACTAAAGAAATGTCTTTTTCATAAAATCTGGGTTTTTATTTTTACATTTTTTTTGACAACAATAGACTTTATCTTCAGACCAAACTGTTAATTTTTATATCCCTGTCGAAAGGCAGCCCTATTAATTCAGTGGTTCCCAACACTGGTCCCTGAGGAACACCCTCCTGCATGTTTTAAGTGTTCCCCTGGTCCAACACACCTGAAATAATGATTTAATTACTTCCTCAGGTTCTGCAGAAGCCTGTTAATAACCCATCCATTCAAATTAGGTGTGTCAAAGCAGGTAACAACTAAAACATGCATGATGGTGTTCCTCAAGGTCCAGGGTTGGGAACCACTTTAGTCTTGTACGTCTGTAAACTTGCTCTTGTCGCGCTCATAACTTCTGATCAGTTCAAAAAAATTATTGAAATTTGATGCACATATACATCTTCACCAGAATGAGTGTCACGTACACTTTTCATCACTCCAGCTCAAGGTCACAATTCAAGGTCAAATATACAAAGTCCATGCTTGTCCGGACCATTTCTATAGCTTGCTCTATAATAGTTTGTTGATGGATGTATAATGTGTCATATGCAACACTCTTGTTTTCTTTACATTTGTTGATGTAATTGATTAATCTAAACAAGTCCCCCCCCCCCAAAAAAAACAAAACAAAAACACTCTCTTCATTTCCTTAAATTTGTTTGGTATGCATTTATTGTTTTTACATTTCATGATCATGCTAAATGACATTCAAAAGTCACTTTTAGGGCTCGGATCAGAAAGCAGAGCTTTTGCTTGGCGTCCTTTAATTTAAGCAGCGACAGACGGTGCTATTGCCACTTTTTAACAGCTTGCATTGCTTAAAATACCTCAAAATCTGTTTGTTTTCTGTTCAAGCACTTAGAGTCCATCCGGATGATTTATCCTGCTGGTTCTGTACGCGATGCAGTCCCCAGTCTCCCCAACAAAGACATTAAGAGAATGTGATGGAGGTGTTTGCTGTTATTATTAGATTTGGTGTGGAGTCAAATGGGCCTTGTGGGATTCAGATAATATCATATTCTGGATACCGACAAAGAAATGGAACAAAGGAGGCAGGACATGCTGAAACTTTGGACCTGACTGTTAATTCAAAACAGTAGTTGTGCAAGAGGAGAAAGACGCGTGAAAAGATGCAGAGAAAGGGATGCATTTGTAAACATCTGTACATTTGACAGGTCTACATATATTGACTTCAAGACTTATTTTATTGACTTACAACGCGGTAAAACTGAATTTAGCCTGTAGTTTAACTCTTTTTTTTTTTTAGTCTGTAGTTGTGTTTTTAATGTTGAGGCCCACAACTAGAGGTGAACATGTTAAGCTAAGCTGTTATTTACTAGGTTTGTCTGAAACACCTACAGTTCTAACATTTCTCAACATGAGAAGATCTGAGTCTAAAACTCTTTAATTTGTCTCACGTTTGGTTGTTTTGTCTTTGTTCTTTTATTTTATGCTGCTGCCAGTTGCTCCATTGAGCTTCTGACAGTCAGACTGAATCAAGGTCATTTTCAACCTTTATTCATTTTGACACAGACTTCACATTTACTGATTTCTTTAGGGCAGGAAAGAGATTTGGTTTTGTCGTGACGCATCATATTGGAGGTGTGTAACATGACTCTCCATCATTTGTGGCACACACCGAACCTGGTAAATTGCAGCAGTAACTACCTGCAATATTTTCAAGGACTCAACACGTTCGGAGAGGGGAAGAACTCACACTAACGTTTTTTTTTTTTTTTAATGAAACCCAGGAATCTACGTGGAGTGGTTTCTATAACAAGCAGTTCAATTCAATTCAGTTTATTTTTATAGCACCAAGTCACAACAGAAGTCATCTCAGGGCACTGAACAGAAACATTCATATGTATAAAAAGTAAATTAATGACATTATTAATCCGAGGAGCAGACTGCTTTGAGTTTAACTTCATCACAGACTCTCATCTTGAGCAAGCATGAAGGCGACAGTGGAAAGGAAAAACTCCATCATGAGGAAGAAACCTCCAGCAGAACCCGGCCAGTACAAGTGGCCATCTGCTTCGACCGTCTGGGTTTGAGAGGAACCGGAAGGAGGAATAGATACACAATTGCAGGTCGAGAATCACATGTTAAGATAGAAATAGTATCGAATGAAAACCATTCAGTTGCAGCAGTTCATTATAAAAAAATGAGGTCAATTTGTCCTCCAGTAGTCTAAGCATATAGCAGCATAACAAGCCAACCATAACTATATGATTTATCAAAAAGGAAAGTCTTAAACTTAGTCTTAAAACTGGACAATGTGTCAGCCTTACGAACAGAAACTGGAAGTTGGTTCCACAAGAGAGGAGCCTGATAACTGAAAGATCTTCCTCCCATTCTGCTTTTGGAAACTCTAGGAACCACAAGTAAACCTTCAGTCTGAGAGTGAAGTGCTCTGTTAGGAAAATATGGAACAATAAGACCTGTAATATAAGATGGAGCTAGGTTGTTGAGGGCTTTGCACTTTGTAGGTTAGAAATAAGATTTTGACTTATATTTTGAATTTGACAAGGAGCCAGTTGAAGCGACCCAAGAAGTATTTGGTCAAACCATCAAAATATGAAAAGGTTAACTGCATTTATAAGGATATGCCATTTATTTACCTTCTCAGGAAGCAGACACAGATGATCAGCAGGGCACGCTGACGTACGAAGAGTTTTCCGTTTTCTACAAGATGATGTCTCTTAGACGGGACCTGTTCCTGTTGATGATGGCGTACAGTGACAGGAAGGACCACCTGACATCGGAGGAGCTGGCCAACTTTCTGCACAACGAGCAGAAGGTGAGCCGTCATTACAGTTTACAGCAAACAACTGATAGACATTTATCATAAGAATGGAGAAATATTGATTTTTTTTTTGTCCTGTTTTTCATTTTTTTACTTTGAATACTGGTAATATTTGCTAATTGCAGTACTTTAATATATTTAACCGCAGCTGTTATATGTGCTGTGTTCATTTTTCTTTTCTTTAGATGACCAGTGTGACTTCAGAGTACGTTGCAGAAATAATTAACAAGTTTGAGATGTCTGACGAGAATAAACAAAAAGGCGTTCTGGGGATTGATGGTAACTTTCACATCTTTACTTTCACTAACTTTGTCTTTTTTCCATTTGTTAAACCTTGGATCCATTTTTTTTTTTCTTTTGTCCACTTGTGTTTATCATGGTTTACCACTGGTGTACAAGTATTTTGTTTACGTTTCATTACTTGATAGTTTTTGCAGATGTTCTTGCAGTAAAGTTTATTTTTAGACACCAGTTTATCACAAAAATCCTCTCAGGTATTTTAAAAATTAATTGACCAATTTAAATTTAAGTTTGCTTTCTTCTTATTGTTATTCTTTTGGCTATTCCCTCTTCAGGGGTCACCACAGTGAGTCATCCTCATCCAGCTCACTCTGTCCTCACTCCATATATCTCCTCTTTGTATTTTTCCTGGCAGCTGCATTTCTAACATCCTTCTACCAGTATACCCACTGGCCCTCCTCTGGACATGTCCAAACCATCTCAGTCTGGTCTCTCTATCTTTATCTCCCAGTTGTCCAACCTGGGCTGTATCTCTGATGATCTCATTCCTAATCTTATCCATCCTTGTCACTCCTAAGGAGAACCTCAACATCTTCATTTCTGCCACTTCCAGTTCTTTCTCATGTCTTTTTTGTCAGTACCACTGTCTCAAGTCCATACAACATAACTGGTCTCTAAACTTTTCCTTTGACCTTTGCCGACACCCTTTTGTCGTAAATCACTCCTGAAACTTTTCTCCATCCACTCCATCCTGCCTGGACTCTCTTCTTCACCTCTTTACCTCATTCCCCATTTTCCTGGAAAGTGGACCCCAAGTACTTGAAGTCCTGCACCTTTGTGACCTCTGCTCCTTGTAGCCTCACTGTTCCACCGACCTCCCTCTCATTCACACACATTGTCTGTAAATCCAAGTTCACTTCCAATAAAGCTCATTTTCAGCCAGTTACAATCCAAATGTTTCCACTTAAAATGCCTTGTCCTTCACTCATACCAGTTCAGTCAAATTCAAAACAGTTATAAGCCGATGTAAGTTCAGTTTAATTTACTATATTAGTTTTCTAAAATGTCAATTAGAAAAAAATAAACCTGCCTTGTAGAGGAAACCAACAAGTTATATTAAAATTTATATTTATTGTATTTTCCGGCATATAAGTCGCTTCGGCGTATAAGTCACGTATCATTTTGCCTGAGTGGCACAGAGCCATCCATCCATCCATCCATCCATCCATCCATCCATCCATCCATCCATCCGTCCGTCCATCCATCCATCCATCCGTCCGTCCGTCCGTCCGTCCGTCCGTCCGTCCGTCCGTCCATCCATCCATCCATCCATCCATCCATCCATCCATCAGAGCTGCAAGCTCTCCAGCGTTCCTCCGCCTGCACCAGCTGAGTGAGCACGGGAGGACTCGCTTTTGCAGTTCTTTGAAATTTAAAGCATCAGTCAAAAATTTTGTTATAAATATATATATATATATATAATCCTCTCATCCTGAGCATACATTGACAAGTTATGGGGTTAGAGGACTGGACAAAGAAACAAAACCAGGCTTTACAAAGTATTTCTCAAAATGCAAATGCTACAAGTGGTGGCTCAAACTGGACCCAAAGGTAGGCATGGAAGAAGCAAGTCTGGATCTCAGCAGGATTTCAAAGAGCAAGCAACAAAACCGGCAAACAGGAACAAGTCAGAGAAACTGGAAAAGTGGCAGGATATGAGCATGTGAGCACTCGATCCGACGTAGACAAAGAGAAACAGAGTATACAGACAGTGATTAGTGAGTGACAAGAGCTGATTGCTAATGGAAGCGGGTGGTGTGTGAGGAGCTGGAACCAGGGTTTATGGAGGACACCTGAATAAAAACAGAAAATGACAAAATAACTACCTAAAATTTTACAACATGTAAAAGACAACCAAACATACTGCTTCCAAAATACTTAATAAAAGATGAAGAAAGTCAAACCACAGACTGAGCAGCACTCAATTTTTGAGACCATAAAAATGAATGCAGAATCATACCAGAGCTTCAGTGCCGTCACAAAATTTGTAGATGCATTGCAAAACACATTTCTTATAAAATAACAAATGATAATAATATTAATAATAAATAGCATGAAAGACTTATTGATCTCGTTGTTGTTATTTACTGTGAGTCCCACTACTCATGATAAGAATTATAACTTGGTTGATCAAAAGGTGGAAAATTAGACAGAAATATTCAAGTATCATAATCAGTATTTAGCTCACGTAGCAGAAGGGCGACCCCAAGGAGGAGAGGGAGAAGAGGGAGGAGAGGGAGGAGAGGGAGGATTCCTGCAGTGTGAAAATTAGTTAAGAAAAACAAGAGCGGTGATAATGAGAAAACGACACAGACAGTGATCAGGTTTTTTTTGGACTGAGACTAATCTTTTTGTCTGAGGTGTGAAGGTTGACTGTGTGTGTGTCTTTGTATGTCCTTGTAAGGCCATTTTTGCAACAAATCGTACGTAGTGAGGACCAGCTGCTCCTCATGGAGCCCAAAGCGCAGGTCCCATAAGAAGTGCCGCTGGCGGGTCAGGGGTTAGGTCTAGGGTAAGGGTCAGGGTTAGGCTATAGACATGCATGAAAAATGAATGGAAGTCAAATGAATACATATGGTAATTAAAGTTTATAATCCAATTATTACGACTTTTTAAAATTAAAATTATTTATGAATGGGGGAAATTTAAGTTCCTGCTTGTTTGCCCGCCCCCCTGACTGGAGCTAGTACAGTTTTTTTATACTTTATACTGTCTTCAAAAACAGCAAACAGAGAAAACTCCAGGGGTGTAAGAAACAGTGAATGAGCAACAAGTGTGCAGATTAATAACAGAAGTCTGGTCATGTGTTGGGAGCTGGAGTCAGGAACGAATGAGAAACTGTGATGGAAAATACGAGAAGAAAACTAAAAGAACATGACAAAAATATATCATATTTTCCAGCATATAAATTGCAGGTTTTTTTGCATAATTTGTCAGTCCTGCAACTTATACGTCGAAGTGACTTGTTGCTACATTTTTCCCTCCCAAATTCATAACGATTTTTGACTGCTGCTTTAAATTTCTAAGAACTGCACCAGTGAGTCCTCCCGTGCTTGCTTGCTTCACTCAGCTGGTGCAGGCGGAGGAACACTGGAGAGCTAGCGGCTCCAGCTGTGATGGATGGATGGATGGCACCGCCCAGGCTATCATTAAATAAATGCATAATAAATGCAACGGGTCAGCGGTGACGCATAATAAATTCGACTTATATATGTTTTTCTTTTCCTTTTCATGATGCGTTTCTTGACTGATGTGACTTATACTCCGGAACGACTTATACACCGGAACATACAGTAACCAGAATGATTCAAAACCCACTCAAATACCTCAAAATACTTCAAGCTCCATAATAAACACAGACTGTAACAACAAAAGGAGCAAACCTCATTTTTTTTGTTCTAAAGCCACAAAACAAACTTTTCGAGAGTGTTTTCATTCATAAACTCTTTAAACCCTTGAAAAACAAATTAATAGAATACTGGCACAATGGGTACATTTTACCCATTCAGATAAAATACCTCAAATATTTCAAGATAGGTCTCAAAATATATATTTTTGTTGTTTGTGCTTGCACTATTTTTCTCATGGTTTCAGCTCATATTAGCATCTTAGTGTTTATGTGAATGTTTTGTTAGTTCACATAGAAATAAAGCGTCATAAATAGAAATAATTACCCTGTTGCTCATATTTGTATTAAATCTGAAAGTATTAAACCTTGCCCTGCTATCAGTGTTGAAACATCGTCTCGATGCTGTTGATTTTTTGTGCTCATTTTGTTTTGATGATTGTGAAATTTGTCTTAAATCCAAACACATTTAAGGACAAGGGGTTAACAGCACCACTGTGACTCATCCAGTGGAGTCAAACAGACAATTACCACATCAAACTTTTCTAAAACGGTCTCTTCTTACATTGAGCAACCTTTTTGCTTCTCGCACTCGGTTCTCATACATTTTTTTTGGTTTCAGGTTTCACAGGCTTTATGCGCAGTCCAACCTGTGATATATTCAACCCGCTGCACCACGAGGTGAACCAGGACATGGAGCAGCCTCTGTGTAACTACTTCATCGCCTCGTCCCATAACACGTACCTGACCGGAGACCAGCTCCTGTCCCACTCCAAGACCGACATGTACGCCTGGGTGCTGCAGTCCGGCTGCAGATGTGTGGAAGGTAAAGCTATGTTTAATTATAAAGACACGGAAGAAGTGACAAGAACAACTACAGTGTTATATTTAATTAAAAGGGCTGCATTCAATTCACGCCCTGCTCTGTCAGGGTACGGTCTTTGCTGTGGGACATTTTACAGCCTCTTCTTTCTTATTAGTACCACCCTGGGATCCTTTTATTGTGACTAATCAATATGTCTGCTGTGAAAACAACACTATTATTACAATACAATGACTTCATTTTATCTGCCGAACTTGAATAAACATTTTTGTGTGTGTGTGTGATCACAATCAACATTTCTGGACAATCAACATCTTATCTGGACGCCATAATGATGTTATAGAAGTCAAATACTTTTCTCACTTTTTGCTTTACTTTAAAACTGAGCATACTTTACTGTATATAGCGCAGACTTTTCAAGACGACAACTCTGAAGTCAAGAAAAGGAGTTTGAATTTTACCCTAATCTTTGATTTTGATACGGTAAGAGCAACAGAGAATGTTAAATGAGACCAATAAAACTCGAGGAGCCTGCACCCAAGAAAAGATGTCAGGTCTCTCACTGTAGGTAACATTTTTGACTGAAACTGGAATTCATTTTTAATTTTTGCCTCCTTTTTTCAGATGAGTTTGACACAACTGTAAGGCAAAGAAAAACAGACCCGAAGATGCAACAACTCGGACAAAATGGACGCTCACTGTACTTTAATTTATTGTGAACTTCTTATATGGAAATTTACTTACAGTATATCCATCCATCCATCCATCCATCCATCCATCCATCCATCCATCCATCCATCCATCCGCTTCTTCCTTTTTGAGTCACAGGGGTCACTGGTGCCCATGTCCAGCTATCAATGTGTGAGAGGTGGGGGACACCCTGGACAGGTCTCCAGTCCATCACAGTGTCACATAGAGACAAACAAGACAAACAACCATTCACTCTCTCACTCTCATCTAGGGACAATTTAGAGTTACCAGTCAGTCTAACATGCATGTTTTTGGTCTGTGGGAGGAAACCAGAGTAAGTAAGTAAGTAAAACTTTATTTATATAGCGCTTTTCAAGATGAAAAATCACAAAGTGCTTCGACAAACAAAATAAAATAGTGCACAAAACAAATTTAAGCAAAGGCAGTTTTAAAAAGATGAGTTTTTAGCTGGCCTTTAAAAGAAGCCAGAGTCCACTGATCGGAGAGTTTGAGGAGTTCCAGAGTCTTGGAGCCACAGAAGAAAAGTCTCTGTCTCCTGTAGGTTTCAGTTTAGTCTGGGAACAATCTGCAGGTCTTGATCACAGGACCTCAAAGCCCTGATCGGGGTGTAGGGATGTAAAAGTTCTGGTGTCTGTCCATGCAGAGCTCGCCAAGTCAAAACCAAAACCTTGAAATCCACTTGATAATGAACTGGGAGCCAATGGAGTTGCTTTAGAAGTGGAGTTATATGACAACGTTTTGAAGATCCAGTCAGGAGTCAAGAAACCCATGCATGCACGGAGAGAACATGCAAACTTCACCCAGAATGGCCTGCTGGCCGGGATTTCATCCAGCAACCTTCTCGCTGAGAGGCAGCAGCTCTACCAACTGAGTCACGTATATATGTGCAAAAGTCTTGAAATGCTCATTTCGACCTGTGATTCATTCAGAACGAAAAAGGCTCCTAAACTCAAAAGGATGAATTAATGTGGTGCCAACACATGACAAAACTAAATTCTGTTTAGAAAAGAACCAGTTTTAAATTGGTTATTGGCACTTTGTTACCAGCGGCCTCTCGTCTTTTGAGCTGAATTTATGAAAACACCAACTATAATAGTTTATGTTCTATAATTTGTAATAGTTAGTTGAAATGTTGACATAGAAAAGATTTTTAGCTGAAGAAAATATTTATCAGCTGTAGATTGTTTTTTCCACACAGCTCTACTGTCTTTGTCCTCCACTTGTCATCTTTCTTCATCATTTTGAGCACTGCGCAGTCTTCTGTCATGGTCCAGTACTGAACAGAAAATTGTTGAAAAAAGTCAAAAATCTATAAAAAAAAAAAACTCTGGAAAAACATGTAGAAAGCTTGAAAAACTGATGATCAAGTAAACTATACTGTATTAAAAATGAGGGATGTTTTAAAACCTGTTGTAACACTTTTTAAAACTTGTTTCCTGTAGTTGATTGTTGGGATGGTTCTGATGGAGAGCCGATGGTCCAGCATGGATACACTCTGACCTCCAAGATCCCCTTCAAGTCCGTCATCGAGACCATCAATAAATACGCCTTCGTAAACAACCAGTGAGTTCCTCTTTTACGACTGGGAGTGACTGAATGCAGGTTTCAGTGAGTTATTTTGGAAAAATGTACTCCTCCATCCTCATAATTGTAGGGAGCCTTAAACACAACAATAAAACTGAATTTTAAATAGCTTTCTTTGACTTTATTAACTGTGATTTTTCTTATTTGAACTTTATTTCTGCTTTAGGAACGGTTTTATTCTCCAACATTGATTCCATCGCTGATATTTTTCCAGAAGTTGAGACAAAATGTAAAATCTAAATATTTTATTTGCATTGTGCTGTACATTTTTTTATAGGAGACACATTTCTAAAGATTAAGAGATAAAAATAATAATAATAAGGCTCACATTTTAGATTCAGTCTACTGTATCACATTACTGAATAAATGAGGAAAGATGAAGATTGAAGCAATTGTTTTTAAATTAAACAAGAATTGTCCAAGCTTTTGAGCTAACCCCCCCCCAACACACTTTTTTTTTTATATTTTATTTTAAGTGTGAAAAATTTAGAGTATAGCCAGAACTAATTTCTAACACCTACCTAAAACAAGCTGAAATACAGAAACAAAAAAGTTTTGATAACAAGACATCAGGTAAAATTCAGTGTAATAAAATCATTGAAGTCTTTCAGAGGAAGATAAAATGAGGTGAGTGAGCAACTTTACTGACAATAAAAAGAAAATAATAATAAGTTTACTTTGTTATTCCCCAATTTGTTCACTGGCTGTTTTCCGTAACGCATGGCACTAATGATAATAATGATAATTAAACAGTTGTCCAATTTCTTAGTTGTACAATGTTCACTGAAAAAAACTGAAAATTTGGATTAACTTTAAAAATCGATGTAATTTGTTACACCTAAATTTATTAGTTTATGTCAAACTAAATGTATGACTTGGATGAAATTATAAATTTTAAGTTAATTTTGAGCAAAAGCAAACATTTACATTAATTCAAAGTGAAAATTCAAGTTGCATTAACCATAAACCACTTATTTTTATTTAGCTAGAAATTAACCAGTTTGGTTGATCTTAATATTTAACACTATATTAACATGTAGCTTTACTTTGGATTAAAATATTAAAACGGATGTAATTTCTGTTACAGTCAATTTTTTTTTAATTTCTCTGAAGTTACAATTTTTCATTGAATATTGTAAACTAATTGTACTTACTCCTAAATCTATGTATTCTTTAGTCATAAGACAAAATGTAATGCAGCTCATTTAATTTAATTTAATGGAAGTTAAAGAAAGACAAAACATTTTTTTCTGATGACTTAAAACCATGCATCACTTTAATTTGAATAAAGTAAACATAAATACAAAGCAACCTCTAATTATGCATCATTTTATTCATTTCAACAACTTTTAGTCTTGATGCCGTAACTTTAACACAAAACAAGTCATGAAATAAATGAAAAACTGTCCAAATCTGACAGATTTAGACATTTTGAAAATCTGAGATTAAAAACATGGACAGAAAAAGTTTAAAAGTACTCATCATATATCAGAATTCTAGTATAACGATACAGTTTAGTACATCTCAACTTTATAACCTGAGAGATGCACAGTATATCTATTAAACAACAAATGCCTTGTAGCTGGTTCTGTACAGCTTTCTTTTGATAAAATCTGCAGAATGTGAAACATTGCAACAGTAAAATCAACCAACAATGAAAAATCTGTGATGTTTTGCATTATATATCATTTTTTTTTAAGAAAAAATACATAAATCAAAACAGATCCTTGGTCTTAGCAGAATTACAAAACGAGACAGTGGTTACACTTTTGTCAGTGTTGATAAACCTGATGAGAGTTTTCTTTAGGAGCTTTAACAAAAAGTGGTCAAAGGCAGATTAATATTTTTCTTGGTAACACAAGAGTGACTCCTGGAAGTTATTAGCGCATATTATCGAACCATCTGCTGAGCAGAGTTTCCTCTGGCTCCCTGAGGAGTTAGTGATTCTGCCGGGTCCAACAGGATCCAAACAAAGTTGTGAAAGATGCAGCTTCCTGCTGTCTCCTTGGCTCACATGAACTGCCATCACAGCTTCTGATGACGACAGTGGAAGAGTTAGAAAGCCATTTGCTTTATTCAGATACAGAAACTGTTGGACTACAGTCAGTTTTTATGTAATTAATTAAAATGTGTTGCTGTAAATGGACGCTTGGTGAGAACTGAACTAAATTAAGACTGAAGTTGTTTGTTTTCAACTTAATTTTGGTTTGTAAACTTCAAGTCCTTAATGCCTTGGAGTGTAAAAACTGCTGCAGTGAATCAGTAGCTTTTGTCAAATTTAGCATTTGTTTAATTAAATTTTTGTTGAGAATTAAATGAGAACATCCTGATTCATGCTCAATAATCCAGGTAAATCCAACAAAGTTAAGTCAGGTCCTCTGGACGGTTTGTTTTTGTTGAAACGTTTCGTCTTTCATCCAGAAGTCTTCTTCAGTCCGAGGAGCCACAACAAACTCAGTCTTATAAATAGCACTTTACATAGTGGGTCAACCAGTTTGATGGTGATGATGGTTTCTGGAGTCCGACCTCTCCCCCGCCAACTCGTTTGAGGCAGTCATGGCCAAAGTGGCTCAAAACATTCTGATTCTTCCTCAGTAATCCTTAATAGTCTTTTGGATGAAAACAAACCATCCAGGGGACCTGATTTGACTTTGTTGGATTTTTCTACCTGGATTATTTTTCCTCTACACACTGAGGTTATGCTGAGAAAAAAAAAAGTTTTCCCAAGTAGATATTTTTTTAATGCTTTGTATATCATGGACCTTTACAGGCAGCATATACTGAGATTTTATAAAACAATTCACTTCAGTTTATTTCTATAGCGCCAAGTCACAACAGAAGTAATAATCTCAGGGCACTGAACAGAAACATTCATATGTACATACAAAAGCCTAATAGTAAAAGTTATCTATCTAAGGAAACCAGCAGAATGTGTTGAGTCTTCACTTTGTCGCAGTCTCCCAAGCACAAAAGCAACAGTGGAAAGGAAAAAACTGCCTTTTAACAGGAAAAATCTCCAGCATTAATCTTTATTTAAACAGGTAAATCCCATTGAGATTACAGATATCTTTTGCAAGGGTGTCCTGGACCTGAAGGCAGCCTAACATGCATGTTGTTTGGTCTGTGGGAGGAAACCGGAGTACCCGGAGAAAATCCACTCAAGCATCCACACAGAAAGACCTCAGGTGCAACCGGGAATTGAACCCAGGACTTTCTTGCTGTGAGGCAACAGTGCTAACCACTGGGCCATCATACTGCCAACGGCAGAACCAGACTCAGGACAAGCGGCCATCTGCTTCAACTGGCTGGGTTTGAGAGGACAGGATGGAGAAACAAACGAACACAGGACAGGTCCAGGTGTACTTTTTACTGGAAGAAAGAAAAATAAAACATGTTAAGGATGTAAATAATTACTAATTCAAACAAGTAAAGTAGAGTCAGTAAAGACAGCAGCAGAGTGAGGAAATGTGATCATTCATGTTCCTGCAGTTTAAGTCTATAGCTGCATAAGTAAGAGATAGCTCAGGAAACCCAAGCCAACCCTAACTATAGGATTTATCAAAAAGGAAAGACTTGAGCCTGATCTTAAAAGTAGACAAGGTGTCAGCTTCATGGACAGAAACTGGAAGTTGGTTCCACAAGAGAGGAGCCTGAAAACTGAAAACTTTGCCTGCCATTGTGCTTTTGGAAACTCTAGGAACCACAAGTAAACCTGCAGTCTGAAAGCAAAGTGCTCTGTTAGGAAAATATGGAACCATAAGATCTGTAATCAATGACAAACAATGACATGGCAAACCATTTTCCACCCGTCCACTTTTGCTTTGTGCTATAGAAACCTGAACAAGCACAGATCTGTCAACAGTATTTCTGCGTCTGTCTCATTTTATCCTCTTCTGAAAGGGTCAGTAACCTGCTGCTTGCTTGACATGCTTGTAGTCTAAGTAATTGATTGGATTCATTGGGTTTCATGGACAAGTATAACTGTGTATCATCAGCATAACGATGACAATTTATCCCATATAACTTTACCTAATGGAAGCATCTACAATGTGTTAGTTTAGCTTCTTTCTCTTCCCAATCTGTTTGAATTAGTAAAAGATTTATATGAAATATCATTGGATGACTAATTTATGCTAATTTATCACATTAAAAAATACCCATAGTGGAACTATTTCATTTCATTTGGATGTATTTTGTGATGAAAACAAGCTTCAGTCAAATATCCTGGACAGAGAAAGAGACACGTCTGACATTTCAGCAACAATTTCTTCTGTGGAACAAAATAACATTCATTTGTGGCTCATGAAACACAATGCAGGGATGGAAAAAATAATTTAGTTTTTGAGATTGCAATCAGTGGCTGATTTGCAATTTAAATCAGTGTTTCTTTCATGCTCAACATTTTAAACAGGTATTTGAATTTATTCATGTTTCCGGTAAAATAGGTGTTTTTCCAAAGGCGAGCTTTAAAAAAAAAAACAGCCAGATTTTCATTTTTCAGCACTGATTCCTGACAGAAAACACATTTACTAATTAGTAAATGTCTGCAAACACTCATTAACTCACACTTTGGTACTTTATTAATTAGTAATCTGTAATCTTGCTGACAGGGAGACCAGATTAATAAACTGAACAGTTTGTGCCTCTTCGTCTCTCCTGTTGCTCTTCTCACCAACACTTTCAGTTAATAGTTAATCCTCTGTGCTTCCCGGTAATGTGATTAATAACCCCCAGGCAACATTTCTCAAGTGTAGCGATTCTCCACTGTCTAACAACACACACACATTCACACACATTCACACACACAACGAGCCACCTCATAGTTTCACATGAGAGACGTGTCTGGATGTTCCCCTGTCATAACAGCACAATCTCTGTTATTCTCTTTTTGTTCTTGGGATGACACTCGTGTGTGTGTGTGTGTGTGTGTGTGTCTGTGTCGTTGTGCATCTCGATGTGTGTGCTTCAGAGATCAGAGGTGCGACTGGGGTTGTGTCCCCTGAGGGAAAGCTGTCACTCCAACAAACCTGGCATTTGAGCAGTGCTGCTGTGTGGCCACAAGTCATTTCAGCTTTTCTAAATGAAAACACAGAGACAAACATGGCGCATGTGACGAACAAAGAAATCTAAAAAAAAAAAAAACCCACACATTCAAGGACTAGTTTTCCTTGAAGGAATGCATAATGCCCAGTGCCTTAAAGACCAGAGTTTTAATTTAAATGAAAACTGTTTTATGATAAGACAAATTGTAGCCATTTTGGTCAAACCGTGCAAGTCATGTTATTCAGGATCTCATGTGAATCTGTGAGATGTTAGGAGATGGGTTAGTGCTAAGAGTATATGCTGTAGAATGTCTCTCAGATACTTAATATTTTAAATCAAATTTATTTAGCACATTAAAAAAAAGCAACTGCTGTTCACTAAAGTGCTGCACACACACACACAAATAGGTAGTTCTACAACAGTAGTATAAAAAAACAAAAACACAAGAAGACAACAAATGAAACTATTAAATGGATCAGATAAATATCATTTCTCGTGCTGCATTAAAGTCCATGAGTCCAAAATGTGTTTTAAGAAGAGACTTAAAAACCCCAAGAGTTGAAACCTGTCTGAAGTGATGGGGCAACTGGTTCCACAGCTTAGGAGCTACAACTGAGAAGGTCCGATCGCCTCTGTGGACCAGTCCAGCTAAACTCGTTTCATTAGATCTGAGGGATCTGGAGAGCACATAAGACTGCAGGAAGTCAGACAGATATCCAGGAGCCTGCCCATTCAGGGTCATCAATAAAACCTAAACCTGATTCTCAAATGACCTGGCCATCTTTAATAAGGATAAATTCAAATGTTAATCAATTGTAGATGTGTGTTATAGCTATAGTTCTAGTTCTAGATATAGTTCGAGTTCCTTAGGCGTTCTAGTTCTAAAATTGCACCATTCACGGTGGCTGCATGTTGGAGTAGCTCTGTTATTCATTCTGAGTTATTGCTTTTGAAAACTTTAATTCCTCTTTTTTTCTGGATGTAAATTACATTTTTCAGATGAGTATTTCCTCTGGTATCAGATGTTGTGCAGCTGGAAGGATTTTTACTGAAAACTTTTTACTTTGGGGCATTTATGATGCATAACCATGGCAACAAGGTGTTCTTTAGCAACCAGGAGCAGCTGATTAACATCTCAAAAGCTCAAATACTTCAGCTACAGCCCCAAATCCCAAATGAGTTGAAAAGGAGGTGTCATGGATGAATTCCCGTCAACCAGTTGGCAGTGCTCGAGTACCTGACTGCCAAGACCCTGGAGCTGGTAGAAAACTCGGCTTGTGACAATGGGAGGACCGGGATCATCCCCTGGCACCTTCAGCTGTCTGCCCGCAGCAACGAGGAGCTTGGCAGACTGCTGGAAGGAGTGACCTTCGCTCAGGGAGGAATTCTGCCAGGCAATCGGGCAGTCCTGCTGCCCAGGAGGACCGAGAGGCCCGCCTGATCTGACAGCAAACTGGATCTGGGTGGACAGAAGTATCTGTGGCCAGATTCTTCAACTTCACTGCAAGAGATCTATCCTGCCCACAGCTATCAGCATCTAACAACTCTTGAATGAAACCAGGATGATGAGCTACGAAAACACTTGATTTCCCTTTGGGATTCATGGCGTATTTTTGAATTGAATTGAATTGTTCTGTGATTATTTTCTGAGAGTTTCATTAAAACAAGTTCAAGTTATTCAGACATGTTCAGAGGATGTTGCTAATGGTGTAGACAAATGAACACACACTTACACAAACATTGGGAAAATCATTATTACCCTTTTGCTTTTAATGACAGGTGATAATGATTTAGGATTATATTAATAAATCAATCCCATCAAAGTCAAACAATTCAAATTCTTTACAATCTCATTCAAACCCGCCTCTTTTAATCCTACAAAAACTTTTTTTTTCTCCTTCATTATTTAAGATTTCCAGTGATTCTCTCCATCGAGAACCACTGTAACATCCAGCAGCAGAAGAAGATCGCGCAGTACCTGCGAGACATCTTCGGAGACAAACTGGACGTGGGAGGTGTGCTGAGCAGAGACTCCACAACGTTACCAAGTCCCCAAAGCCTGCAAGGAAAGATTCTCATCAAAGTAAGAAGACATCACTTTATAGAGTCCGAACTTCTGCGTTTTAAATATATTTTAGATTAAAACACGACTCAGCATTTAATGTACGTGTGAATAAAAGCTTCTGCCTCGCCCCCACTTCCCTCCCATCATCTCATTATCCGTCAATATTTGACTTTGTGTGCTTTGTGACTAAGGGTGGGGAGTGGGGAACAGCACTGAGAGGCTACTTGTTTCCAAACAGAGATGAAGAGAGGGAAAATTATAAGTGAATAAAACTAGGTCATTGTTTTAATCATGGATGGAGTGGGAGGGAGGAAGGGAAGGATAGCTGCAAGTTATCTCTGAGCAGACTGTTGGCTCAAATACTTTGAAGCATGCACAGCGCAAACTCAATCTGACTGCTGACTCATTTGAGGCTGGTATATTCATTTATTTAATTAACGACTTCTGGTAAACACAAGAAATTAAGTGCAAACAAATAATCAACCTTTAAATCTATGGTTAAATCTATACGGTTAAGTTTCCAATATATAGATGTCTGTTTTTTTTGACAAATTTCAGAATATATCACATGTATGTTTAAAAAAAAAAAAAACCCTAGTAAACAAATTTACCATCTGATAATTTGCTTTAAGGTTGCAGGATTATAATTTGTTGCAGTTTGTTTTAGATAGCTTGTTTTAACTTTGTAACATTTGAACAAGTTCTGAATATTATTCAGTGATAACTTGATTCCACAGTATGGAGGACAGAAACTACCAAAATAAATAAAAAAATAAACACATAAAATAATTTGATCTATGTAATTACTGAGCCCCCCCCCCCCCCAAAAAAAAAAGGAAGAAAAAGAAAAGGGTTTTATGCCTTTTTTTGGGGAGTGGGGGGGGGGGGGTTCAGTCTTCCGAAGAGAAAACAACCTGTCTCTGTTTTTCAGTTTTACCTCCGATCAGACTTGCTAAACTTATTTGTTTGGCACAGGAGTCAAACAAATCTCATTAGCCTTGATTTTCTTTCTTTAAATCTACATTTGCGTCACATACAAGAAATTATAAAAGGATAGTTCATATATTTTTGAAGTTAAAAAAAATTTTTTTTTTTTAGAAAGGTTATAAATGTTACGACATGACCAACAAAGTCCATGCTCAATAATCCAGGTATACAATCCAACAATTACTGGTCCAGGTATTACAAATACCTGGATTATTGAGCATGGACTTTGTTGGTTTTGAACCAGTTTGACATGACTGTCGACGAGGGAGAGGGCCGACATCGGAGGAGGGGGCTTGCCAAAGAGACCATCTTAGCATCAGCATAACTGGTTTGTTCCACTTTGGAGTAAGCTGTTGGGGGAAGAATCAGTTTTGTGTTGTGTGTTTCCTTGACTGATGAAGACTTCTGGATGGAAGGTGAAACGTTTCAGCACAAAAAGAAAGAAACTGTCCAGATGACCTGACTGAAAATATTTGGGTTACATGACACGCCCCCTTTTTGTCCCTCGTTCATCTGTCCTTTGAGCTGGATACCTTGAAAAATGAGCAATGTACCATATTTCATTTTGGTGTGCGGCTTCCTCTAGGCATAGAAAACGTCACTTTCAAAAATTGAGTTTCCTCGTCAAAATCGAAGATGGTCACTGCCATATATTGATGTAAACTGGCCAACCCAATCATTTCAGGAAACTATGCTTTCTAGTTTTTATATTGATTAGTTTCCTCAAATGATTGGGGTGACCGATGGGGTGGCTGAAGATTAATCTGTAGTGGCCAAGGTCACCATTGGCCACCCCTTGACTCCGCCATTGCGTCAAGGGGTGGATAAAATTGCTCCCCCCACTCGCCAGGATCCACCACTCTGCGCTGACTCAGACAAGCAAAAAACAACAGAAGTACCTCTCTTCTTCTCCACAGTGTAACTTCTACCCACTTGAATAACTTTCACTAAAAAACATTAAGGTTTACTTACATTCACTGTTCATGTCCAGTTCAGAAAAACACTTACCATTCAAATCCCTCAGCAACAGGGGACGTCGACAAAACTTTTGTTTTTAAATTTAATTTTTTTGTTTTTAAAGTTCAAACACTTCTGTCACAGCCTTGAGCACTTGTAGCAAGAATATCACAATATTTCTGTAGGAACAACTGAGTAACTCAAACCTGACTGATGTAAATGTTTTTAAAAGAACATTTACACGAAGAGTTGTTTTATGTTGACAGCATTACACTTGGGTCTCTGTCCTGATCAAACTAGCTGTTAGCTCGTCAGTACGTTCTGATTTAAGATCCGTTTCTCCAAACTGAGGTTGTTTAAAGAGCCATCTTCACCAGGTAAGATGTTAGCTGTTCATAACATTTTAATGCAACTATGCCAATAAAAAAACAAACAAAACAACTAATCTTTGAAGATGGTGGTTGCTAGACCTTAGATCTACCAATCCATAGTAGATGAGCTTAACATCTCTGTATATTGGTGACATTTGACTAATATCTAAAACATGTAATGTCTTTTTTAAACTCTAATAACATTGCAGGTTTAAAGATAAATTCTTAAGAGGAATGCCATAAAGTTACTAGGTCCTACCTCCTCCAGCACCATGAAATGTGTTTGTAAGCCTCAAACCACCATGTGCTCAAAGTCAGCTGTTTCATACGACACCCCCAAGCAGAGCGCTGCATTTAAAATGCAGCATTTTTATAGTTACTTGTCCTACAGCCATGCCGTAACAATAACTGCCATGCTTATATTTTTGAAGCACCTGCTGTAAAGGCCAGGCAGGTGCTGTGAAAGATGATCTGTGAATCATATTTGACATATTTATTAAAAGCAAACATTCAGACATCTTCTTTTAAGACGTACCAGCTCTTTTTGTTGTACGTCCAAACACATTCGTCTTCACCTCTTGTGTGAGGGAAGTTCATGCTGTGGGGTCCTTGACTCTGTTCCTTGTCAGTCAGAAATCTGCAAATTTAAAAAGCATTGCTGATTTTCTACAAAGGCCCTTTACTCCTCCCATTTTTTGAATCCACCTGGAAGCCTTCCACCTCTTCACTTCTCCCAGCAGACCAGAGAGCGAACAATACAGAGATATTTCACCAAGGTTTCAACAATCACATACAGAACGAAAGGCGACAGACCGCCCGTGGCGGTGGTTGAAGTGGGGGCAGTGATGTCAACCAGGGAGAGACTTCGTGTACTGCAGGAAGCTTTGAGCCTTATTTTTTTTATTAGAAGAAGATGCTTAGAAAACCTCCACTCCCACGCACACTTGGAGAATGGTTCACTAATGGGCTTTCAGTGAACTGGAAGAGCTTCTTAGGGAGCTTCTCAGAGAATCTGCTGCTGAGTGTGTTTTTAGGATTGAGCATTCTGTGTTCGCTTCTGTGCTTAAAAATGTCTTTTTATTCTGCCGGTTCATCCTGATGAAGAAAAAAAAACTACAACTTAAAAAAAAAAACATATTTATTTTCTTAGAACATTTTTACAGTCAATCATAATAATCAGTGATGTCTTATTTTTTGGATTATCTCTGACCATGTGCATGATTCGGTTCCTGTTTGTCACTTTTCCTCCACCTCTCTGCGTTTTCTCCGTCCAGGGGAAGCGCCTGCCCGCCTATCTGTCCGCGGATGCCGAGGAGGGGGAGGTGTCGGATGATGACAGCGCAGATGAAATTGAGGAAGACTTCAAGCTCAAAAACAGTAATGTAAGGGAGAGCAATGTGTGTGTGCACAAACCACGTTACATCTAAGTGGACATGCTTAGTGCATGCACGTGGATTTGTAATGAGCTTAGAGATCATCAGTAATAAAACTAAACATATTTTGAGTATAAACGAGTCGAAAATGCTTTAATTAAAAAAATATCCTGCAGCAAATAAAGGGATATTTCAAATACAGTAGTCCCTCATTTATTGCAGGGGTTTCCGTTCTCAGCTCCACCACGACAAGTGAAAAGTAAGTGAAAAAAACCACGAAGTAGAAATAGTAGTGTGTATATATATATATATATATATATATATATATATATATATACAGCACAGCATGTCACGATCACTATCTGCCACCTGCCAGCGCTCTTGGCCACGCCCACTTCTCTGCTGCAGAGCGGAGATCGACATGCTGCAGAGGGAGCTTCTCCCTGCACCTGTGGGCTGCACACAGGTGCAGCAGGTGCTAAATAATTTAAAATAATTTATTTTAAATAAAATATCCATGCCGATCTTGCGGCTCAGCCATCAATCAGCCAGTTGTGTGTCATGTCCAATCTTACTTTGAAAAACCGCGAAAGTCAAACCGCGAAGTAGCGAGGGACTACTGTATAGTGTTTCACACAACATAAAACTGCAAAGCTTTTGATTTAGTTGTAATTAATTTTTTTCCATAGCCTTCTTTTTTTTTTAAATATCAGTGATAATGTTTTGACAAAGCAAAAAACAAACAAACAAACACAAATAAATAGATAAATAGATAGATATATAAACAAATAATCATGAATCACTGAACACATTTGACTGAAACCTTCAAAACCTTATCTTTGGATATACATCTGCAACGAATTAACTTTTGGACTCAACCTGATTCAAGATGGCTGCCCCACCTAATCAATTTAGGCAAATACAAAAATGGCTACAACTCGGTGAATTTTACAGAAATTGAGTTAAGATTCGGTGTGGTAGTACCTGAGAGTTATTCACAACATATACTGTACTCTAAGTGCTACATCTTGAGCAAAACCTTAAAACATTTCCATTACCTGTTGAAGTTAAACTTGCTTATCTGTTAGCAAAATATCTCTCAAACAACATGGAAGAGTTTATTGATACTCTGAGCAAGTAATCACTGGACGTACGTCTACAACTGATGAAGATTTTGAGTCAGTCCCGTTCAAGAAAGCTGTCACAGGTATTTAGCAAAAACAAAAACGACTCCAACTCAGTCAGTTTTACAGATATTGAGCTAAATGTTAATGTGGTAGTAGCTGTGAGTCATCCACAAAACATACTCTGAGCTAGACATCTGTAATATTACATGAATTTGTGCTTATTATTTTAAAGTGTCTGTGACATGTATCTCCTACAAATACAAAAAGTGGAAGAAAACCTCTTAATATATAAAAAATGGCATAATACACATGATTTTACGCATTTTGTCACATAACTGACAATTTTTCTTTGACTTAGTGGGGCCAAAGTGAAACAGGAAGTGACATCATAGGGGAACTCTGGTTTTTGTTTGTTGAGTTGTGACTGCCAGTGTTGTCAGTCATTGTAGCAGCGCTTTGTTCACTTTATTTGTCTTCACTTCCTGTTACTGCACACACAAATATCTGATAACGATCTAATCACTGCTCAGCTCAGCAGTGTGAATTATTACAATATATTGTTAACGTTATCTTTCCCCAAATTAATTCATATTCATTGCAAAAAATTATCATTACAGGCACTTTAAAGATTTGACCAGGACAACAATATCACCTTCATCTCCCAGTGTAGGATGAGTCTGGCATGAAAAATGTCAGATGAACTGCATTCCATTAAGGAGTACATACTGTACTGCCTGAATCATGCATAAGCCTTTAATTAGTTTTTATTTATTTTGTCTTTTTTAACATTTTACTTCTAAAAATCCATGTGCAATGTATATATTTTTTACATTATGTAAGTTTTTGTGTCGATCCAATCAAGCCCTGAACTTTAGCAGCCAAGAAAGAACTAAACAAAAAGAAAAGGAACACTGAATTATGACTTGTTTTGTAGTTTGCTGGCTTTACATTTCGATTTTATTCATTTGCTATAAAGCTACTAAATGAAAGGGAACCTGCATGAATTTGCAGCTGTTTGCATCTCTATAATAAAACATTAAGACATGATGCATGGTTAACACTCTCCTGCAGTGTTGCTGTTAAGAATAAAAAAAAAAAAAACGACTGTTCTGCCTGGAAAAGCAGAATCATAAAACATTAAAGATACCTTTACTTCCTTATTTGGCTGAACGGCGCTGCAGGAGGATGTTTTTGTGCGTCTAATGCTAAATCATCTTGGACAGTCTATAGAAAATCAAGAAAAGCTCTCTAAACATGCGTTTAAAACTAATTCAAGCAGCAGAATAGTTTGAAGGTGGAGGGTTTCTTCATACTGATGCACTTCTGACTGTTGAGAAAGCCTAACAGAAAAAAGAAAAAAAACACCGCTTGTCCAAATGACTTCACTTTTGACACCTCTCCTCCTCTTTGGTCCCAGCAGATCAGATTGTCGAGAAAAGCAAACAACAGTCACACTTACAGAGAGAGACTTTCTTTTAGAGTGGAGTCAGTGAAGCCAATTGCCAAACAACCTTTCTGGGCAGCTTTATTTTATGTGTCTTTGTGCTTTCAGCTGAATGTGTCCACCCACACTGACATGTCAGGAGGTGATTCATGGGATCTTAATGATATTCTTGTACTATTAATTGCTGCAGGACTTTTTAAAATTCCTGTCAGTCTCCCCACCATCACAGACATCTACACCTCCAGATGCAGGAAGAGGGCCACCTGCATCACGAAGGACCCCACTCACCCAGCACACACACTTTTCCCCCCGTTCCCCTCAGGAAGGAGGTTGAGGAGCATTAAGTGTAGAACCACTAGACTGAGGAACAGCTTCTACCTTGAAGCTGTTAGACTCATGAATATCTAACCAGGATTATAACTGTGAAAAAAAAATCACTGTAATGCCACTTTGATTAGTGATATGTGCTGCTGATTATCCATGCTGCTGATCTCATGCTGCTGATTATTTCATGCTGCTGTGTTCATTCGTACTCATCCACCCACAAAGACTCATGTTCGTGCTGCTGTTGTTCTGTGTATTGTTTAGCGCTATTAATGACTACTGTATATCTTAACGCACCGTTTGGCGTTTGTTTAGCGTATATATTAGTTTATATCCTAGATCTTTTACTGTTTATTTTTACACTTTATATATTTGCTATTGTTGGATGTAACTGGGACCCTGTGTACACAATTTTGTTCCACCTCATGTACCACATGTGATGCGAATAACAATAAAGAACCTTGACCTTATTCCGTGGATAAAAAAGCAGCATCAAGATGAAGTTTTTTAATTGCGGTACATGTCTGAACCACGGTAACAGATTAGGTTTACAGAGAATGAACTCTTCATACATCCTCTGCTATTCTTCTGATCATTTTTAGTCATCATTTTTGATATTTTGTGGTACAGTCAAGCAAACTGCTTAGCAAATTAAAAAAATCAGGAGAACACTCGTGGTGTTTTCCATGCGCTTTTGTTAGATGAGCGAATGTGGCACCACTTCTCCACATTTAGCTGGAGGCATGAAGCCGCAGATGCCACTGCAGATGATAACTGAAAGGGATGTTGGCAGATTATTGGGAGTTTTATTTTTATTTTTTATTAACCAGTATGCTTTCACAGCAGTCTGCTAACATCCCACTAATAGACTGATATACCTTTCACACAGTGGCTGTTTAGGTGGTATAAGAAGGATTGTTATGTGCGTGTTGTTTTACTCTTAATGTTTATGACAATTATCCACTATTTTAAAAAAATCTGACACTTTCAAACTTGCCCAGCTGTAGAAGCAAACATGCTAATCAACACATCGTTAATGCTATTATTGTACAATATTTGTTCCATTCACGTTAAGGTGCAACCATTTAGGACCCTGCGATCAAAATACTAATATCAAAATGAATCAAATCAGATACATTTCTTAAGAAAATGTAAAAAAAATCTACAAAAAAAGGACCTACTTTATGGTAAAAAAAAAAAAATATATATATATATACATAGAAAAACGCACATCTTTGAGGATCAGACAAGTTGTGACATCACCCTGCTGTGCAAACTTTGCTTTATTCATGCTGCTGTTCAAAACTCCAAGAACTAAGAACGATTAAAGAGTACCTGATCAACCAAATCAGCTTTGCAGAACCACACTGCGAACAGTAGCATGCTGCTAACAGTAGGCCTACCATGCTGCTACCATGGTGCTAACAAGGTGCTAACCACTCTGCTATTAAGACCATGCTGCTGTAGATGTATTTCACCTTTGGTGCCTTATTTTTGTATTTTTGTTGCATGATTTGGTATTTGTTGTTGGGTTTTTTTTGCGAGTCGAGATGGTTCTTCTCGTCCTCAGCATTTCATTGCATTGTTGACCCCGTGTTGATCTGCATATGACAAATAAACCAAACCTGAAACTCCAACTAAGAACTAAGAATGATAAAAGAATACCTGATTAATCAAATCCGCTTCGCAGATTTCTAAATCCTCTGCCTGATGGCTCAGCATGCATATTATGGGATGGATTTACTTTGCATGTTTGAGACTACACAGGTCAGGATTAGATCTGCAAACATGATCATTTTGGCCAAAGCTTTTCAATGCCACTTGGACTGGAGGATACATTTTTCAGTTTAAAGAAGCTGAAAGGTTTCCGAGTCGGTCATCTCACATCTGATTAGGCTCTCAAGCACAGCCTGAAAAAATGATGTTTTTTGTTCTGGTTTAAACTGACGTAATCTTCTCAGAACAATGCTGATATAAAAAAAGCATCCCCTGCAGGAGTCAGGAACAAGAGTCAGTGCTGTGAACAAGGATTCAAAGTTCTTTATTTGTCATATACACAACATGTGGTACATGTGGTGGAACATAATTGTGTACACAGGGTCCCAGTTACATCCAGCAAAAGTATAAAATGTAAAAGAAAAACAGTAATAAGATCTAAGATATGAACTAAGAAAAACATTAACTAAAAATACACTAAGCACTAGTAGTATAAAACAATACGCCGAACAGCAGCACAAACATGTCTGTGAGCAGATGAGTACAAATGAACACATCTACATGAAACAGATCAGCAGCAACATGATGTGATTTTTCACAGTGATTATCCTCGTTAGAGATTCATGAGTCTAACAGCCTCAGGGTAGAAGCTCTTCCTCAGTCTAGTGGTTCTACACTTAATGTTCCTTAACCTCCTGCCTGAGGAGAGCGGTGCAAAAAGTGTGTGTGCTGGGTGAGTGGGGTCCTTCATGATGCAGGTGGCCCTCTTCCTGCATCTGGAGGTGTAGATGTCTGTGATGGTGGGGAGACTGAACAAGGTTCTGTCCTTGGATTCGTGTAAAACGCAACTTGAGTCATTGTCTGGTCATTCATGATTACTGGGCTAGTTTGGATCAAATATGACCTCAGTTTATATTTTTATACATTAATATAAAAAACTTTTAAAAAATGTTGCCATATTAAAATTGTTGCTGGTTTTTTTTGTCGTTGCATGTTTGGAACCGAACAAACAGCAACAAACACCAAAAGTGTGCTTCAACTTGATCTCATGGATTAACTAATATTCCTGTTTAGAAAAATTAACTCTTATTTTATGATTCACAATGTAGAAAAATGCATTTTGTATCTCACTGAACTACTTACTAAAAATGTGTTAAACTTCAATTTGCCTGACAGTTTTACTAATTTCTCCCTAAGTCTCATTTTTCTTTATTTGTTAATGTGACTCTCATTTTATTAGTGTTATTTTAAAACCAGATCTTTTTGTGAATGGTAATTTTTTATTAAGGTTCAAGGCTCTTTATTATCATTTGCATCAGATACACCAGGTGGAACAAAATTGTGTACTCAAGGTCCCAGTTACCCCCCAAAATAGCAAAATATAAAGTATAACAAGAAACGGTATACAAGGATCTAAGATATACACTGATCTAAGATATTAGTCAGTGAAAAATGATTTTCAATAACTGACACTGGATCACTCCTTTGGTTTGTTGCGCTGCATTAAATCTCAATAAGTTGAAGATGGAGTCACGTTGAATCCCATCATATGGTGCTTAAGGACTGATTGTGAAGAAAGGCTGAATTGTATTATACATCTGTCTTTTAGCTCATGCATCTTTGATAAAAAGATTATGTGCAATATATTGAGATACATATTATACTCGTCACACACCAGAGCAGCAGTTGTGCAGATTCTTGTAATTTAGCTGCTTCCGTTGATGTTGGTTCAAAGTCATGCAGCTCAAGTAAGTGTCCCTCCTTCCTCCACCCTTAGGACAACGGCCATCATCAAGTGGAGTCTCACATCAGAAAGAAGCTGGACTCTCTTCTGAAAGAGTCTCAGATCGGAGACAAGGAGGACAGCGACAGCTTCAGCATCCGAGCTCTGCTCCGAGCCACGCATCAAGGCCTTCAGAAGAACCTCCGGCAGGTACAACCCCAAGGATGCGCGAGAGAAAGCAACAATACAACAAAACAGAAACAGGGACGGAGTAAAACTAGGCCACAGATTTAGCCACGTAGAGAGATGCAGTGAATAAAGTAAATTTGTACTGCGGCACCTACAGAACCAAACGGCCGCTCTTGAGGCCACATCGAAGGGGCTGCTGGGTTTCTGCATCCCGTGTGTGTCAAAACACTCCAAAAGTGAGGAGCAACATCTGCAATGTTACTTAATATTTAATTTTGCTGCTTGCCTCTCGGTTTATTTTTAGACGCTTCGCTATCCTGACAGCCATTTTCATGCAGCGAGTGTGGAACACCGTGACTTTCCTATCCTCACTAATGCAGCTCTTCTTTGTCGGCGATTCCCTTCACCTCATTCTGTCTCCAAAGCCTCTTCTCTCCAAGTCTTTCCTCCTCGCAGTAATTTTTCTGATTTCTCGCCCACCTCTCTCTTTAGCTGTGCAATGTTTTATTGACCGCTGTTAGCTGCAGCTCCTGAGCTTTAAGCTTTAAATGACTCACAGGCTGCTTACGTTGTTGGTATTTTACATCATGCTGTATACAAATACGCACAAACATATGCAAATGCACACAAAAAGACTCAAACCCAAAGCTGGAAAGTCTTTGAATCTGTTCTTGTTTTCTCTCCAGAGCTCCAACAGGGTTCTGAAGAAATCCCACAGCAGATCTCTTATCACAACGCTCAAACAGAAGGTACGAAGTTCAAATTCTTTTGATTTATTGGTTCTGCTGCAGGCAAAGAAGCACAAATACATTTTTTGCTGCATACCACAATATTGGAGAACTTTAACTGAAGCACCGTTATTTTCATAAAACCTTTATGAAAGTGTTAGTTTTACTGTGCGAACCTTGATTCATTGTTCTCACGGGTGTTTTCCTGAGTTTGTTTTTTTTCCTATAGGTGACTACTTCTGCATACTTTGTGCAGTTTTAACTATTTAAACATCAAACCATTCAGTTCATTTTGGAAATGAATGCTATGATTTTTGTTTTTTGTAACTTTTATACTTTTCAAACTCTTTAAATATATTTTCAAAACTTGCCCCTATAGAAATACATTATCTTTTAAATTTTAGCTAGCCTTTTGCTTGTTTTAGCTTTTATATAGCGTCCGCTTTTGTAGCATTAACGGCACAGTTTTAGCTTCTTCAACACATTTCAGCCAAGTCATCCAGCACTCACTGCATTTTCACAGAAAACACAATTTCTCTAGTTTGAATTGTATTGATTTTCAGAGGCAGCCCAAGGTTTTATAGGGTCGTGAAGCAGAACCTGGTTTGATCTCCTGTTTTAATCATCGCTACCATAGCACTTCTAATATCTCTGGTATTATATGTACTGGCATGTTTCTCTATGTGGTGTTTGTTTCTCTGTCTGTTGGCAAAATATCTCATTAACCACAGGATGGACTTTAATGAAACTCTCAAAATATAATAATTCAGTGAGCATCTACAAGTGATTAACTTTTGGTGATGATTCAAGATGGCTGTTATAGCTAGTTGACTCAAAAATGGCTATAACGCAGCATATTTTTATGGATATAGAGTTAAAATTTGGAGTACCGGTAGTTTTAGTTGAAACTCAACGTCAACACATGCTCCAAGACAAAACAGATCTCACAAGCTCCATTAACTGGTGTAGCCAACACTTTTTGATTTTTAATAAAATATCTCATGAACCACTGGATGGATTTTACTGAAACCTTTAGATATCAATTGTTAAACAAATATATATATAACTGATTATACTTTTAAAAAAATCTATCAAATATAACATGGCTGTCACACCTAACACTACTTAAAAAGTAATGTAAAACAATATGACGTGACAGCAGCAGCCCGAACATGAGTCTGTGGTGAGCAGATGGGTATGAATGGATGCAACAACATGAGATAATCAGCAGCATGAGATCAGCAGCATGGATAATCAGCAGCACAGATGTCACATATCACCAATTAAAGTGGCACTACAGTGATTTTTCTTTTTTTCTTTTTCTTACACTGATAAACCTGGTTATGTATTTATGAGTCTAACAGCTTCAGGGTAGAAGGTGTGGTAGTAGCTGAGTGTTCTCCCCATCTCATACTTGTGAGACCTCACAATATCGCATGAACCATTGTTGTTCGATTTGACCAAAGCAGCAACAACTCTTGTTATTGTTCACTATAGAAAGATGCTCTCCGTTTAAAACGTTGGCATGAAATGTAGCAGACAGTAAACATTCCTTCATGAAATTCTTGGCCTTTAATTTTTCATCATTATTTATTTTTCCATTGCTCATCTTACACAACTATTACCATGGTTTACTTTTTATCCAATTTTACATTTTTTTCCCACCTGCACTTATCCACTCATATCTCCTCTTCAATCTTTATGCCTCCCTCTATGCCTATAATTCACCCTCCTACGTTTGTGTGCGTGGTTGTGTGTGTGTGTGTGTGTATTAGGTATAAAAAAGTGAGGAATGCACTGTAAGCAGCTTAAACCCTGTAATTACTAAAACTTCATCCACTTCGCAGCTGCAACTTAGCTCTAATAAGAATTGAGCTTAAAAACAAGAAAGCGACGCTCCCAATTTAACACAATCTTGCGTGTATAGTGTTTATATATGTATATATTTATATGTATATGTGGGTGTTTCATATACTACCCCTCAAACGCCCACATTCACGTACAAGCACACACATAAACATATACTACAAGGCAACTCTATGATTGAACCTCTCCACACAGAAACCTCTGGCTCCTGAAGATTTGTTGTGTTTGGAGTGAGGAGGCGGCATCACAAACAATATGTTGTGTATATAGCACAGTTTCCAGGAAAGTTTCCTTGAGGCGAAGATATGAGGACAGGAAACACCACTGTGCTCTTTGACTTGTGTATTTGTTAATTGTGTTCTCTCTCTTTCCCCAGAGGCACTCCAGATCTAGGCTGTCGTGCCAAAGCGTGGAGAAGGAGGAAGAGGTTCAGGAGAGGTCCGGGAGGGAGGCCGGAGGACAGTTCAACAGGTGACCTTTACACAACAACACAGACCGTCACTGACAGCTGACAGGCTTGATGTCTGCCTGAGCACAAAACAATCCAAGCCTTCGGTGGTGCTGTGAAACCACTTAAACCCCTCCGGCTCTTGTATAACGTGTGCATAATGTGTGTGTGTATGTGAGAGAGAGAGAGAGAGAGGGAGAGGGAGAGGTGGAAGAATGAGGTCAAAGGTCAGAGCAGAAACTACCAGAAAAGGAAAAGATTGTTTCTGCTCGTTTAACTAAAAGCTGTATTCTGCCAGATGATCGTGTTGGATCACAATTATATTTTCATGTCTGTTCTAAAATCATTTTTACAGCTGGAAGTAAATTTCTGATCTTCTTTAAACACCAAGATCCTGGATAGATGAACACTGGACTGTGAACTCATCGTTGGGGTTAAGTTACAGTCAAAGACTGACGTTTTAATCAATCAAGGTTTAAGGTTCCTTACTGTCATTCGCATCACATGTGGTACATGAGGTGGAAGGAAACTGTGTACGCAAGGTCCCAGTTACACTCAAAAAAATGCAAAAAATATAAAGTATATAAAAAAAAAAACAGTATAAGTATCTAAGATACACGCTAAACAATAATAATATAATATAATAAACAAAGTGCTTGCTCAATAATCCAGGTATCCAACAATTTTCAGTCAGGTCATCTGGACGGTTTCTTTTTTTTGTGCTGAAACGTTTCACCTTTCATCCAGAAGACTTCATCAGTCTGAGGAAACACAACACAAAACTGATTCTTCCCCCAAACAGCTTACTCCAAAGTGGAATAAACCAGTTATGTTGGTGCTAAGATGGTGTCTTTTGCACGCCCCCTCCTCCAGAGCTGGCTCTCTCCCTCGTCGACAGTCATGTCAAAATGGTTCAAAACCAACAAAGTCCATGCTCAATAATCCAGGTATACAATCCAACAATTTTCAGTCAGGTCATCTGGACAGTTTCCTTTTTTGTGCTGAAACGTTTCACCTTCCAACGTTTCAGCACAAAATAAGAAACTGTCCAGATGACCTGACTGAAAATTGTTGAATATAATATAATATAATATAATATAATATAATATAATTTAATATAATATAATATAATATAATATAATATAATGTAATATAATATAATGTAATATAATATGGTGTATTAAACAGCAGCCTGAACATGAGTCTATTGTGAGAAGATGGGTATGAATATAGCAGCTTAAGGTAAGAAATCGCCGCAGCTTCTCCTATTTTATTTGACCAAATATAGATGACAGAGCTTATTTTTACGCTAAAAGTTAATTTATTATAATTATAGGTACAGTAGTCCCTCGGTACTTTGCGGTTCGACTTTTGTGGACTCACTGTTTCGCAGTTTTTTACTGTAAGGTTGTAGACGACACATGATTGGCTGATTGATGGAAAGCGACCAACCAGAGCATTATGCTCTGTATCCCAGGCGCTGACTGGCTCAGTAACCGCTGCGCCCTTTTAGAGCATTTTTACAGTTTAGAACATTGCAAGAGTGTAGGAAGGGGTTATAAGACATCCCTCTCCCCGCACTCTGCTTCTATCCTGGTCCATAGCTTGGTCATTTCTCTAGCTGATTACTGCAACTCTCTCCTATTTGGTCTGCCGCAAAAATTACTCCATAAGTTTCAAATGGTTCAAAATTCAGCTGCCTGCATTGTTACCAAAACCCCCTCATTTCACCACATCACCCCAGTTTTACAGCAACTTCACTGGCTTCCAGTCACTTTCAGAATTCAATTTAAAAATCCTGTTGTACACATTCAAGGCCATTCATAACCTCACCCCTCCCTATCTGTCCGATCTCCTGCGCATTATCACCCATTCACGCTCCCTTCATTCTTCCTCTTCCATCCACCTCAACGTGCCTCTCGTCCGCCTCAGCACCATGAGCCTTTTCTCACTCTGCTCCTCAACTCTGGAACGCTCTTCCCCCAGACAGCCGTAATATTGACTCCCTTCAGACCTTCAAATCACAACTCAAAGCTTATCTGTTCAAGTTAGCCTTCTCACTTTGTTTGCTATTTTCTTCTTGGTTTAGTGTTTTTAAAGCCATTTTGTATTGTTTTATTTAGTGTTTTTAATGTTGTGAAGTGTCCTAGGGTGTCTTGAAAGGCGCTAACAAATAAAATGCATTATTACTATTATTAATAATATATATATATATATATATATATATATATATATATATATATATATATATAAATACTAAAATAAATACAAAAAATATTTGCAGTTACATTTCTGTTTACACATGAGTGTTTGTATTTCCGTTTGCAAACTTCACAACTCTTCTTTTTTGGTGGAATGTTTTTCTGTGTTTAGCATCTACATTTACCTCTAAGTTTTTTAAACTAACTCCCGCAGCCGAAAAGACAAAAGTGAATGATAACATTTTTGCCAGTGGCTGTGTGTGTGCATGTGTTTGTACTGTCAGTAAAATATCTCATCAACCACTGAACATATTTTAATGGAGCTTTTACAGAGTAATGGTTGGATGAACATCAACAGCTGATTAACATTTGGAGTAAACCATTTCAGGTTGAATGCTACAGCTAAAGGATTTTAGCCAACACAAAAATGGCTATGGCTCAGTTTACAGATACTAAGCTAACATTTAGTGTGGTAGTAGCTGACATCATTTACAACACATACTTTTAAGTCAGTGGTGGGCAGCCAATTTTTTAAAGCCAAATAAAGATATTTAAAACAATCCAAGGGCCACATAAAGAACTGTAAAATATGTTTTAGCACTAATAATCTGGAAGATCTTTTTCAGTTTTATTTTTGTTGTAGCATAGTTAGCATGCTTGTTAAAATGCTAAAAAAATATGTCTCCCCAATACTTTTGAGGGGTATAAGACATGTTTTCAGTAAGCTGGCTCTTGTGACAATATATTAGCTTAAATATGCCGAAAATAAATAAATAAATAAATAAATAAAATGTTTCCAGTAAAGTCCTGGGATCAAAACAAAACAATAATTTTAGCCTATCTTAATATAAATGTTTTTTTTTAATGTATTTGTCCAAGATGTTTAATTTAAACTTCCTTAATTTTAACTGTTAAAATGCAGGTTTTCATCAACAAATTTAAAAATGGTTTGCTTTTCAATTACAAATGTTGGGGCCCAAACGGGGATTGTCCACAAACCACTTTAGGCCCTCGGGCCATGTGTTGCCTACGTCTGCTCTAAGTGCTAACAGATCAGTCTAAGACATTTTTTTTTCCATTCAACCTTTATTTATACAGACTAGCCTCATTGAGCCACGGGGACTCATTTACAAGAGGGACCTGTATTATTGCGCAAGATTGAGCTTAAATATATTGTGAAAGTTTGACCAAAATGGCTACAGCTCTCCTTTTCAACTCAACTCAACTCAACTTTATTTGGTAAATTGATATCACAAAAAAGGAAAACCATATAAAATACTATTTTACAAATCAATAATTTAACATAAAAGGAATAGGCTGAAGCTAAGGCTTATACAGTACTTGCCTACCCTATTCATAGACTCAGCAGTCTACAATAATGAAAGATAACTGTTCATATACATACATATATAAGTACACATACACACATTTATACTTAAAATGCATTTTCTGAAGAAAAGATGATCTTGTCTGAAACAGGAGCACAAAAATCAATGAGCGACATGCATTCCTTCAAGGAATACTAGGCCTTTAATTTTTGCCTGTAGCCACTTAAACAACACAAAGTCAAATTCAAAGTTTCTTTATTTGTCATTCGCACCGCATGTGGTACATGTGGTGGAACAAAATTGTGTACACAGGGTGTATTCAACCATTTTGTGTCCAGGCAGGGTCCCAAACACTCAAATATTATAACAGTTGAACTTGAAATCCCATCCATTTTCTTTACCCGCTTGTTCCATTTTGGGTCACGGGGGTCGCTGGTGCCCATGTCCAGCAATCACTGTGCGAGGGGCGGGGTACACCCTGGACGGGTCGCAAGTCCATCACAGCGCCACATAGAGACAAACGAGACAAACAACCATTCACTCTCTCATTCACACCTAGGGACAATTTAGAGTTACCAATCAGCCTAACATGCATGTTTTTGGTCTGTGGGAGGAAACTGGAGTACTTAGAGCAAACCCACGCATGCACAGAGAGAACATGCAAACTCCTGTGGAAGTCCTATTGAATTAAAAAATATAGACAAGTAAAACATTGGATTGACTTAAAATTCAAATGAATATATTTTGTGTCTTTAATCTAAAAACTACATGTTCTATCATTTCTTTTGAGTGTTGTTGAAAAGTGAATCAAATTGAGCTAAATCTGCCACTTGGACAAAATGCAGCTCCATCCTTTTCCATACATTGTTTTCATCTTTCCGTCTGATTTCTGTGAGTATTTGGCAAACAAAGCCTGGATACCGGGCTTTGTTTTCCTCCCTTTAGATCTCCTGGTTCTCCCAATCCCTGCTTTGGTCACATATTCGATATATGCATCCTTTCAGGGATCGTCACACTACAGATTCCTGCAATGCCACCAACTATTTCATCTGCAACTGTGTGCCTGACATGTTGGTGTATATGTGCCTGAGTGTTGCTCTGGTCCCTCTTAAGCCTTTTGCCTTTGATGCTCCTTCCTGTGGATTGCAAGCTGCCTCTGATGGACAATCCTCTCCTTCCTGCCATGTTTTTTTTGTTGCTCCCCACTACAAATAGGTCAACGAGTGTGTGTGCAGATCGTATGTCTCATATTTGCCTGGTACATCTTTACGTGATCTCACTGTAGCTCCTGTGTCCTTTCTTGAAATTATCTCAGGGGTGGAAGAAAGAGGAAGACGATGAAACTGAGCAGGGATTTGTCCAACTTGGTGGTGTTCACCAATTCCTTAGCCTCTCAGGAGTGTTTAAACGAAGGTGAAACGCCCCAAACTGACGCACACAGGCACGGATATTCACTCAAGGGTATTGACTTACACCTAATCCTGTATTTTTTCTCCCCCCCCCCATAGGTACTCCAGGTGATGTTTTGTCGTTCAGCGAGACCAGAGCACAATCTCTGGTCAATCACAGGACCGAGCAGTTTCTTGCTTTTAACCAGAGGCAGCTGTCACGGATTTATCCCTCGGCCTATCGCATCGACTCGTCTAATTTTAACCCTCAGTTTTACTGGAACGTGGGCTGTCAGTTGGGTAAGACACGTTGGCCTGTCACTGAGGGCTCTTAATAAATACTCTGCCTCGATTTAGTAACAATCCACCTGTCAGATATTAAACACTTTCTGCACAGCGTTATCCTGACATTCACATGCCTTTCACATTTTTTTTCATTTAATGGCTTCTATATTTTGGACATTTGAGTTCTCAGTTTCTTCAGTGGGTAAAATACATGTGATTTCTAACATTTTTGAGTTAAATCAGACATGTTTTCACTGTGTGTGTGTGTGTGTGTTGAGGTGAAACATCTATACTCAGACTCACATTTTACAAACATGTATGTGTGGTTCAGTATTACTTTTCATCAAAACACCCAACATGCCAGTGGCAGGTAGCCCTGACCCAACAATTCATGAGGCAGCAAGCAAGTAAAAGTAAAGAAAAACTACAAAAAAGACAAAATCACTAGATACACTTTTTTCACTTCCGATCCGATACCGATCCGATACCGAGCCGAAACAGAAAAACAGTGCTGAATAAACAAAACTGTCTAAATCATGTCATCTGGACCCATTTCTGAAACAGGTCCAGATGACATGATTTTGCCATTTTTGTTGTGTATCTGGATGTTTGAGCTTACAAACCCAGTGCTGAATTAACTTAAAACATTGGGTTTTTTTTTTAAACGCAGACATGAAGGTACTGAATTACAAATTCATTGAAAACTCTGCACCAGAACTGCACACTTAAACACACCAAGAGCTCCTCAAGCTTGGTCAAACATGTAAAAACAGCACAACTTTAATTTGTTCATTCAGTACGCTAGCACGTGACGTCACTCAGAGCACAAAGCATAGAACTAGAGCGAATAGATCTGCCCAGTCATGGATCGGTTACATTGTCACCGATAGCCGATCCAGAAGTTTTTCGATATCGGTACAGATACCGATGTTGTTATCGGATCGGTGCATCTCTAAAAATCACCTCCCAAAGAAAGTGTAATGAGACGAGTAATGAAGGGGAAGTGATTACAAACTAAGATCAGGCCTCAAAGAAAAAGCAAGACAAAAAGATGAATGAGACAAATCTATAAAAACCGGATGAGAAGGTGAAGCTGAAGTGAGATCAAACATAGTACAAAATCTCATCGACCTCTTCACATATTCCAAGGTTCTTCATTGTCATTCGCATCACATGTGGTACATGAGGTGGAATGAAATTGTGTACTCAAGGTCCCATCTACACCCCAAAATAGCAAAACTATAAAGTATAAAAAGAAACAGTATACAAGGATTTAAGATATACTCTAAACACTAATAATGTAACCTAATACGGTGTATTGTTGTTTGGCTTAAATCTTAGATTCCAAATATAATTTATGGAAATTTAAAGTTTTCTGTGCATGTTTTGTTGTTTCAGCATAAAAAAATAAAAACATCTATAGCAAAGGTTTAAAAATCTGTTTTATTTTTACTTATTGTTTCAAGGTTTTATTCTTTTTCAGATTCTTGCTTCCTCTTGCTTGTACTTCTCTTGTGTCATCTGTCAATCTACTGTATTTTAGGGACAACAGAATCATTTTACCCTTTACGCAAAATTAGTTTTTGCCTTCCAGAGTTGACCGTTGTCGACTTTGAGGTGTGTTGAGAAACATCCTGCATGTTCTTCTCTTCAGCTAGTTTAGTCATGGAGATTTGCTTCAACAATTTACTTCAGTTAAAGTTATTTTTAATTCTTAAAATGCATCACAGCCTCCAAGTATCATGAGTACTATCATTCTCTGAAAGTTTGAGGAGGTTTAGTGCTTTTCTATCAATACATCTGTTCCTTCTTTCTCCAAACAAGCTGATCAAAAGCTACATTTCAACTTTACCTAGATTTTTCTTTTCCTTTGAAATGATCTGAGTCTGATTTGTTTCTGCTCATGATACAAAAATGCTTTCTTTCATTAGATGAAACCTGAGGGCAGTTTTTGGGAAAGTCTTACTTCAAAAGATTTTTTAAAACAGAAATCAGTGTGATCCCATTATTTTCATGGGCCAGTGTATGACTAATGTTTTTTCAATGATTTTAATGTCATTGTAGTGGCACTAAACTATCAGACCGAGGGGCGGATGATGCAGCTCAACAGATCCAAGTTTATGGTGAACGGGGGAATCGGTTACGTCCTGAAGCCACCTCCCATGTGTAAAGGTACACAACCTAACAGAAAACACAAACGGGCAAAAACACACGCTGATGTGGATATAAATCAATTCTAGTTGTTAGATCAATATATAAAAAAAAAAAGTTTAGAATGATATTGTAATGCATGAAAAAAAATTGCATTTTCAAAACATTTAAAGTTTCAAGAATGTGCAAAGAAAACAAAAAAAAAACAACAACAAATGTAACGATGTATTTTTAATACACTATATTTTTAATGCACTGTATTTTTTCTTGTTTGTTCCTATAGTATTGTTCTTGATTTTACATTTACCACACCAGTAGAGTGAGGCGGGGCGTCCGTTTTATTTATCAGCCATGATGCATATGTGCCTGTTTCTGTGGGGGTTTGTCTGTTTTTCCCACGAAACATTAGATGTAATTTCACAAAACTCACAGATAGCAATCATTAGATGACCATCTGCAATCCGTCTTATTATAAGATTTTTAAAATTCTTTTTGCACCCTTTTCATTCGACGTATTTTCTTTTTGATGAATTTTTTTTGTTTCTTTTAAATGAATGAATAAATCTACAACTGATTAGCTTTACCAGTCCAGTTCAACATGATCTCCACAGTCAGCTGGCCGTTGAAAACACAAAAAAGTCTGTATGCAAACAGATCACACAAGAGTTTTGTATAAATCTTTTTTGCATGCACGGTGATATGCATTCCATCAAGCAATGTCTTTTGCCCTTGATATTATATTAACACGCCTGCATGGTCAAGATGAGCAAACTGGCAAAATAAATAAACTAACAAGTATTTAGACTCAGTTTTGATGAAAAAGTTATGTGGATCTATGGCCTAGAAATTATATTAACTGACTAAATTAATTAAAGTTGCTGTTTTATTATTTTTTGGCACTCTCTAGGCTCCTTCAACCCATTCAGTGATGACCCACTTCCAGCTTACCCCAAGAAGCAGCTCATTCTCAAGATCATTAGTGGACAACAGCTGCCGAAACCACCAGACTCCATGTTGGGTGACCGTGGGGAGGTAAAACAACATAAAACACAAACAGTGTTCTTACATTCTCCAGCTGTCATTCTTTTCCACGTTTCCATGCACATCACCACCTTTATAGCTCAGAAATGTTCACGTTTGCTCACAGCACAAATAAAAATCAGCACCATGTTTTGATTCCCTCTTCTGCTCTTTTAACAGATTATTGATCCGTTTGTTGAAGTGGAGATCATCGGTTTGCCGGTCGACTGCTGCAAGGAACAGACGCGAGTTGTTGATGACAATGGTTAGAAACACGCACACACCAAAATAAACAGTTCACATGTTTTTATAGAACTTTATTAAGGCTTATTTGTGGAATATCCTAACAGGAGCTGATTATATAATTTTACTCACTATAAAAAACTGAATAATAACATACATCATGGTCATAAATCAGAGGGTTGTGGCGCAGTAGTAGGGCAGCCAACTTGGTACCAGAAAGTTGCAGGGTCAACTCCCCATCATGCCCACATTTTGTGGTGTCCTTGAGCAAGGCACCTATTCTCTAACTGTTCCCTGGGCACTTTTTTCAGCTGCTGCCTTCTTCAGGGGTCGCCACAATGAACTAACTCACATGAAGATTTGTCAATTGTTTTTACGCCGGATGTCCTTCCTGACCCAACCACAGACCACCAAGCTGCCACAGCCCTCTGGGTGGAGCAGAGAGCTGCCATCTAGGGTACCTGGCGGAGCAGATGATGGGGGTTAAGGGGCTTGCTCAAGGGTCCAGAGTGGGGCAAATGAGAGTGGAGGCAGGTGTGGGTGCTTCACCTTTCCCACCCACATTTTGATGTTGTTGGTCCGAGGAATCGAACTGGCGACCTTCAGATCACAGGTTCGCCTTTTCTAACCTCTGCGCCACCACTCCCCATTTGATGATGGGTTAAATGCAGTGCATACATTTTGTTATTGTATGGGAATTTACAATGATCACAATACACAGTACTTTTTTTTTGTTTGTTTTCATTCCAAATCTCAATGAAACAAGGTCACCGTTGCATTTACTGCATTTCCCTCTGGGCTGTGTGCACTGCAAGGATCAAAAGTCTGATGAATTAATTACGACGTCAAAGGAAGCAAAACGTAATGATTTGCTGGTGTGACCCTTAACATGTTGCTACAGATGAGGGTTAACTAGCAGGGGAGGACAAAATTCTCTTCTGGGAAATGTTTTTAGCCCTGGGAGCTCAATAGTATCATAGGATTAGATCATCAATCCCTGAAATACAGTAAATAAATTTGAAAAACAATAAATGTATTTAACATACTTCTGGTTTTTTTTTGCACTCAGGTTTTAATCCAGTATGGGAAGAGTCGCTGTCTTTTACACTTCACATGGCTGAGCTGGCACTTGTGCGTTTCCTAGTCTGGGACCATGATCCAATTGGACGAGACTTTATTGGTCAAAGGACTGTTGCCTTCAGTAGCCTGATGCCTGGTTTGTATAGAATTCTTGAAATTTCAGCTTTTTTTATTTATTTGAGTGATAAATCAAAGCATTTGAAATGGGGTTCTGTGGAAAGTTTATCAACAATTAATATCTTACTTGCTGTAAATAGCACTGAAGCACCTAAATTTGGATAAATAGAAATTATTTCTGATATGATTGCTGAGCAGTCTATGTCTAAACTGAAGGACAAAGTGAATTACTATGGGGTGCCATTTGTAAAGTTACACAGTCAAAAATGAACAGTAATAGTTTGGTTTATTTAGCCTTTCATAAGAAAAAAAAAATATTTTTTCGAAATCATATTTTCACCATGTCATTCATACATTTATAAATGCCATAATTCCAAACTAAGTATTTTATTTACAAGCTAAATATTTAGTTTACAAACTAAATATTTAACTTGCAAGATAAATATTTAGTGAGTGAACTAAATATTTAGGTGTGAATTCAATGTTTAATTTCCAACCTAATTTTTATTTCAAAAATAAACTTTTAATTTCCAAACTAAATATGTATTGTCCAAGCTAAATATTTAATTTCTGAACTAAACATTTTATTTCTAAGCTAAACATTTAATTTCTAAACTAAATATTTAATTTGCTAACTAAATATTTAGCTCAGACCTAAATATTTATTTTCCAAGCTAAACATTTAATTTCCAAAATACATATTTGATTTGCTAACTAAATATTTATCTTGTACCTAAATATTTAACTTTCAAGTTAAATATTTAGGTACAAGATAAATATTTAGTTAGCAAATTAAATATTTAGTTTAGAAATTAAATATTTAGCTTAGAAATTAAATGTTTAGTTCAGAAATTAAATATTTAGCTTGGACAATACATACTATAGTATTGGACAATACTAAATATTTAACTTTCAAGTTAAATATTTAGTTTGCAAATTAAATATTTAGCTTGGACATAAACATTTAGTTTGTAAACCAAATGTTTAGTGTTGTGTTAAATATTTAGCTTGCTAACCAAATATTTAACTAGCAAAATAAGTAATTAGTTTGTCAATGAAATATTTAGCTTGGAAATTAAATATTTAGTTTGGAACTATGACATTTATAAATGTATGAATAACATGGTGAAAATATGACTTTGAAAAATAAAACTATTTTTTTTTCTTATGGAAGGCTAAATAAACCAAACATATTGCAGTTATTTTTTGACTGTGTAACTTTACAAATGGCTCCCCATAAGTTACTGCCATCTTAAGTGGCTCCAATCTCAAATATTTCATCATTTTTCGATCAGACGTTGTGATATAAACCTTTACACTGTCGCCTGTTTTACCGTACACAGTTATTCTGAACAAAATGTGAACTTTCTAACCATAATTTTTTTTGGAAATAACCATGACATGTGAAATTGACATTGGAGTAAAATGTTATAAAATGATCTTTGCACAAACTGATGTGAAATTTGTGTTTTAGGAAAGTCAGTTATCCACTTTGGTCTTGGCCACCCTTGGACAAGTTCTATTACTCATCAATCATGTCAGAATTAAACTCTTTCTTCAAACTGAGCTTGTTCAAAAAGTAAAATATTAATTATCCATATATTTTCCACAAAAGCACACTTCAAAATATCTGAAATAATTTCTTCAACTATTTGATGCGTGTTTGAACAGTAATGTTAGACAGTGGATATGTAGTACTTGTGTTAACTAATTGGACCAGTTCTGGTAAAAGTGTTGCCATCATTTAACACAAATCCTCAGATTTATGCTTCAGTGCGTGATGTTGCTTCTGACTCAGACCGTGCAGTATCTTCAGGGCACATTCTGTGAATCATGATGTGACTGGTTTGTATCATAAAACAGTGGTTTGGGCGGATTATCTTACTTATATAATTGAGTTGACCCTAAACTCCTATAAGTCTGTCTCCTATAAGTCTAAAAGTATGTTACTTTTCTTCTTTTTTTTTTTGCCATCCTATTTGTTAAAAAAATAAATAAATTGTATGACTTTTTATAACTGTTTATTGTTGTTGCTGTTGTCCATTGTTGTCATCATTCTTTGTTGAAATCAGGTCTCTCTTGTAAATGAGTCCTCGAGGCTCAATAGGATTTACCTGTCTAAATAAAGGTTGAATGAAAAAAGTCCTAATGAGGCAGCATTACACAATCAACAGACTGATGGCAGCTTTCAACTCTAACTCTTTCCCCCATTATCTTTCAACAACAGGTTATAGACATGTTTACTTGGAGGGACTGACTGAAGCTTCCATCTTTGTGCACGTGTCAGTGCACGATGTTTACGGGAAGGTAAGTGCTCTAGCCCAAGTGTTTTTCTGTAGCGTTCAACCGTTAGACTCTTTTGTCAACAGAGAGTGTATTGTAGAGAAAAACAGAAAATGTGTTTCTCTCCATGCATCGTCAACTGAGGTTTTACTCCTTCCCTTCTTTGTCTCTCTAGTGGAGCCCTCTTGTCCTGAATCCCAGCTTTACCATTATGCACTTTTTAGGAGCTAACAAGGTATAACTGAGACTCTGGGCTCTCTGTTGTGCTGCATGACAAAGCAATGCATGCCAAAATGTGCAGTTTGTGACCAGTCATATTTTTCGGGACGTGTTTGTGGTTGACATGTAATCATACAGATTGTTCATAAAGAGTTTGACATTAACATTTTTACGTTCAATTTTATATTTTGCCAATATGTTAATTAAACTGGCAGCATGGTGGCTCAGTTGGTAGAACTGTTGCCTCTGAGCGAGAAGGTCGCTGGATCGAATCGAATCTGGGGGACCTTTCTGGGTGGAGTTTGCATGTTCTCTCCGTGCATGCGTGGGTTTTCTACGGGTACTCCAGTTTCCTCCCACAGACCAAAAACATGCATGTCAGGCTAATTGGTAACATTAAATTGCCATGAGGTGTGAGTGAGCGAGTAAATGGTTGTTTGTCTCTATGTGTTCCTGTGATGGACTGGAGACCTGTCCAGGGTGTACCCCGCCTCTCGCACAGTGACCGCTGGATATAGGCACCAGTGAACCCCGCAACCCGAAAAGGAAGAAGCGGGTAAAAGATAATGGATGGATGGATGTTAACAAAATGGTTGGAATTGAAGCATGTAGGCAAAAAGGAACAACAGCTTCTTGGTCTTGTATGCTGTGCTGATTATACATAAGGAGTAAGAGTGCCATCTGTTGGTGCTGTTTTAAAAAGCATGCAGTTGTTTCCTTTGCTGCAAATTAGATTCAAGGCATTGAATGTGTTTCCATTGTTTCCATAATAATTAACCTTTTGGCTTCAAACCATCATCTGTGAAAAATTGTGTTCAGCATATCAGGTGTGCTGTTTCTCATTTTATGTTTGCATGGCTCTTTCTGTCCTCAGGGTAATCATCTGCGAGGTATTCGTGGTTTCTTCAGTCGCTCTTCCAAGTCCTCTGTGGACACAAACACCAGCGGTCTTCGAAAGCGCTCCATTAGCGACCACCTACTGCGCCGCACAGCCAGTGCCCCAGCGAAGGGACGGAAGAAGACAAAAATGACGTTGTCTGAGTCAGTAGCCTCAATTTCTGACCACAAGAATGGCACTGGTGCAGGAGCAGGAGCAGGAGCAGAGGGAGCATCAGGGAAGGAAGGATGGGTGGAGAACCCTCTCCAGCCTAGAGCGCCACTTATCCACAGGCCCATTTCCACGCCATTAGACAGACTTCTGCAAGGGCAGCTGTCCATCTGTTCTCCAGACAAGGAACAGCATGATGTGGGAGCAGATACTGTCATTAGTAAGATTTTTGTTTTTACTAATCCATGCCAAAGATTTAATTCTTTAAAAAAAAAAGTGTTTAACTCATGTCAGTGTTCGAAATTAAAAGTATTCATCATGCTATGTAACAACAATAGTTGGAACATTTCATTCACTTTGCTATATTATGTCATTAAAATTAAACTAAATGACACTTTTTTTTCAAGCAGAAGAATGAAAGTGGCATTTGAAGAAAAGAAAAAAACCCACAATGCAGCCTGAATTGTTTGTCATCTTAATGACTCTAAGCTGGTTTCTGATTTCTCTCTTTCTTCTGCTACAGCTTGTTGAAACTCATGCACAATAACCATGTGACGTAAAAGACAACAGCCTAATCTTCATAATACCTTAACATGCTTTTTCTGTCCCATCTTCATTTGTTGTTTTTCTTTATAGTTGAGAACTGACTAGGATATTTCTGCAGGTAATCTAAAAAAACTCCTGTCCAAAGGTTGCATTGCTTAAAGACATGAATATTGCATTCATCCAGTGTATTTTTTAAAGTGGTCTCTAAGATATATATTGATGTACCATTTGATTCCATTTGACCATGCCAGTTCCACTTGATCATCCTTTTCCTAATACAGTACTTGCAAACATAAATTTGTATTTGTTTTCAACCTTAACAGCCTCATTTCCCAGCTTCCCCTTCACAGTTGTTCTTGGTGATCCATTTGTCTGTGTATTGCTAATGCCTTGTGTTGAATGCCTTGTTAATTGTTGTCATTTGTTTATTGGCTTTAGTTATGAAACAAAAAACATTATTTTATCCATTGTTTCTTAATCTTTTTGTTGATTTGTTTGTGTCCCCAGGAGTATGCCAGTTCAACAAGCCCAGGTCTTCCTCTGTGGACCTTCTCTTTGAGTCATCGTTAACCACTGAATCAATCTCACCACCTTCAAAGACCAATAGAAGTAAAAAGTCTGGAGAGACTTCATACCCGCTGATTGCTGCTGGTGGAGTTAAAAAGGAAGACATCTATGTCAATTACCAGTCACCACTCATTACATCAAAGATCTCCTCTGCAGAAACAGAGAAAAAACACTCTATGTCGCTTTCAACAAACAGTCAGAGGACATCAGATAAACCAGAAACATCATCAAATAGTACAACGTTCACAGTTGCACTTTCAGTCTCCTCGTCCTCTTCTTCCTCCTCCTACATCCCCTCGTCTGCGGCACTTAATTCTCCTGTCAGGCAGAACAGTGGTCTAAAAAGTCCCAGCTCTCTGCATGATAGCACCATCTCTAGACTCATTGATGCCGTGTCTTTAGGCAATGAACAGGACACGTGTTGCTCAATTTCTGCTCTGATTGATCAGTTTGAAAGCACCGTTGACCAAAGTAATCTCACAATGCTATCACAAGATATCACCCAGTCCAGGTCATCAAACCTCAGGCCTACAACACCTAAAGCACTGGAAGATTTAAGGTCTCCTCTCAAGACCAGCGCAACATCATCTAAAAAGAACCCCCTGATGAGTCCCCAAAAGGTAAATCAAAAGACAAGTCATGTTACCAGTGAAATATGTTCACCCCTCCAAGTGTCCAGTGCTGATACATGTACACCAGCTTTCATCTCAAGCCCACAAACTGCAGAGCTTGAGGAGGTCTATACCATTCTGGACGAGGAGGTTCTGTTGCCTGTGTCAGTGTACAACCTGAAGAAGCAGACAGTTCTTATTCAAGCAGATACAACAGAGCGCTCACCTTCAAACAGTTTAGGGTCCTCTCCAGCAAAGGCAGTTCACAATTTAGGGAAAGGGCCATGCGTGGCATGGAATGATGTGAACAGAAATTGGGGTGAAATTGAAGATGCAGAAGAGAGGGTATATGAGGAAGTGAACGATCCCCCGACTGCATTACCTGAATGCAGAGAGCAAGGCACTTCTAAAAGTTCCATAAACTCCTCTTCCAATAATCCCTTAAAAAATTTCCTTCATTCAGTGAGAGGAGCATTTACAGAAGTGGAGCTAAATGTTGATGAGGATCCATTGGAAATAATAATGACTTTGCCTCATCATGGCAACCAGTGGGATGGGCTTACAGATACAGACAAACACAATGCTATTTATCAAAACCACAAATCCACTCCCAGATACTCTCAACAAAAGCATCCTTCTTCATACCCTCAACCACATTACCCAAAACATGAGTCTCATACATCATTCTCACAGTTTCATTTACCAGTGAATCAACAATCACATCAGCTGTTCAATCTCCATCGACAACAAGACAGCTCCCAACCTCCAGTCCATAATAAATATATTAAATATGAACTGTCCAACTTTGGTCCATTGCATCAGAACAGATATCCCATGAGTCAGAGCAACTGTGAGGTCTTTAATAACAGCAAAGACTTCAGTATTTCCAACACACAACACAGAAGCGTCAGTGGGAACCAGATCCACAATAGGTCTCAACAACGCAAGCCAGTAAATAAGCAGATCAAAACTGAAAGAGTTGATTGCTCTTACAATGGTTTTTCTTCTGCTGAAAGCCTACCTGGTCAATGTGCTGTGTCTGTAAACATCTCCAGAGAGAGAGGGTCGTCTTCACCCTCTTTTCATTGTGAAACACTGTACAGTCAATTAGACTATGATTGCATTATGCCCTCACCTGAGCCTTGTGCTTCACAAAACATCCAGCCCCAAAGTCAAAGTCCAACAAAATTGTTTGGCCCTAAACAGTTTAGGATACATACAACCAGCCTAGTCAATAACAAACTCCAGCCACACTCTGAAACCAGCGTTCCACTGCATTCAGACTTAGAGTCTTCATCTACTTATCTCCAATCAGCCACCACACGTTCTAAAATCCCAAGTCCCTGCAAGTCTAAATCTCTGGGAGACCTGACTTCTGAAGACATATTGTGCAACTTTCAGAGCAAATATCACATTATTAGTCGCAGTTTTGTCACATCTCATATGAGAAAGCAAAAGCATAAAGGCACCATAGGAGAAGCAACATTTCACTCACAGTCATTGGATCCATTTACACAACAACTACGTAAATTGGTTAGTCTGGAGGCAGATGATGGAGGTGGAGAAAGCCTCCAACCTCCTGAATTACAACAGGAAGCAAAAAACCAAGCAAGCAATTTATCTCCACATGATTCCAGGGATTTAGATGATTCCCCCCCTACTCTTACTCGTCGCTTATCTTCCCGAAGCCAAAGTCGTGTGCGTCATATCAACAGTCGTGCCCGCGAGAGACAACAAGACGCTCTGAAACCTCATCCACCAGTGGTGATCAGTAGTACTTCAAGCATTGGTGGGGTGGTACGAAGGAACAAACCAGCCTTGCAAAATCTGCCACCTAACAGACACTCTACTGGTTCTTACATAGCAGGCTACCTTGGTGAGCTGAATGACAGAGGACTTCCTGAAGGTGCCTGCACCTCTGTAAGCTACGGCAATGGGGATAGTCTTGGAGATCTGTACTATACTGACAATTCTCTCCCACGTGTAAACACTTCCCATTTAGCATCTGAACCTGAAGTCTATTTTCTGCTTAGACTATAAGTCTGATCATGCTTTGCTGTGGAGTTAAGGAGTTGCACATGGTTAGGTTCAGTAACAGCAAAAACCAGATGACCAATGATAAAATCTTGCACTTGTTTGTTGATATGTTTGTTGACATTTTCATCTCTAAGGGTTATGAAAATATCCTTCTGGGCTGTTTCTAGTCAGTACACTAAACTGTAAATGCAACATTGCATATATTCTATGGTTGGACTCAACAGCATGGAAATTACTTGTATCAAATGTCCACTTTTCACTAGAGAATGGTCTTGTTTACAGTGTACTGTCTGTATCCTGCTAAATGTGTAAATGTATTTGGGAAAGTTGAGTCCCTTCAAAGTCCTTCCTGGTTGGAATGATTGTGCAAACTTGTTATTTTTGTCCCTGTGTGGTACTATCCAATCTTTGTACAGTGACTCTGAAGCAAAAGAAAAAAGAAAGGAAGAAAGAAAGAAAGGTGGAGAAGGAATGTCTTTCTTTGCATCTTTTGAATGTGTAGTATAAAGCGGCATATTTTTATTTGATGGATTCCATCTTTTCAGATATCTCACGCAAGTCTTCCTTCTCTCTTTAGTGGTATTTCCTTAATTGTGTTATGTGTAATTATCCCTGTTATCAGTTTTCATTTGAGATGTTTTAACTGAGAATAATTTATGTTTGTGCATGTTACATGTGAACATGTCAAGCATGACTATGCACCAGTTTATACAATAGATGTTGGATTACCTTAACACATTTGCACATAAACAGAGGTCATAGGCTTGTTTGTATTGGGCAAAGTACAATACATTAACTTCTATGCTTGGACTTGTTGCTCTGTATGACTTGTAAAATTTGATGGCAAAATTTAAAGAAAAAATGGAATTCAAAGGTTTTTTTATTTTTATAATTGCTTTGATACAGACAGTAAAATATACTCTTGTTCTTTGGATTTTTTTTTTTTTGTATAACTTGATGAACGGAACAAATGAAGTGACAGCTGAACAGGGTCAAGCTGAGGAGTGAAGGGTAGCAGAGCTAAAAGTTTGGTTTTTAAACACTTGTTTCAGTATTACACCATAATTCTTTCTTTTTATTGTTGCTCATTGGAGAACTGTGAGCATTTTTCCTATCAATGCAATAAAAATAAAATTTTTGATTTGAACAAATGTAATGTTTACACCTTCTTTTGCTACACAGTAACAGAGGTTGAATGAATTATGGATGAAAATGAAGACCAAGCTTAATAAACCATTAGACTTGTGTTCTTGGTAAATGTAGACTACAGTAAAATAGTGTGGTCAAGAATCTTGGACCCGTCTATTGAACTCATTAACAAAACATGTCCAGTTTCCAGTCCTGTTTAAGTTTCATACAACATAATGCATTAGACACAGAAGTTATCAAATATTTAACTAGTACAAAAATATGACTTTGATGAGCATTTTCTGATCAAAACATTTAGGTAAACCATAGTGTATAACATTTGGTGTAAAGTTTGCAATTAGGTAATGAGTTGTTTCAGACTAACAGTAACAGTTTTATGCAATTAAGAGAAACTTCTATGATAGTTGTGATCATTAATAGTCAACAATTTGGAAAAAAAAACCTACTTCTAATATCCTGTTAGGCAGTCAGTTCAAATATTCAATTCAGTTTATTTATATAGCGTCAAATCACAACAGAAGTTGCCTCAGGGCACTGTACAAATATATCATATGACTTCCATGAGCGACTGCGGCTGAGTGGTCAGAGCAGTCATCCTCCAGTGCAAGAGATGGAGGTTCAATTCTATCAGCAGTCACATGCCAAAGTGTCCCTGGGCAAGACAATGAACCCCTCAGTGCCTCAGATGTGTGTCCCATCGGTGTATGAATGTGATAAAGCACTGATTAGTCTTTGTACAGAGTGATGTATGAATGAGCACATGAGGGCACAGATTGTAGTGTAAAGCACTTTGAGTATCTTGATAAGATAGAAAAGCGCTATATCAGTGCAGTCCATTTACCATGTAATTATCAGCATCATTGGGTACAGTGGTCTAATCAATCAATCAACCTTTATTTAAACAGGTAAATCCCATTGAGCCTCGAGGACTCATTTACAAGAGAGACCTGATTTCAACAAAGAAAGATGACAACAATGGACAACAGCAGTTATAAAAACTCATACTACAGTTTTTTTTTTTTTTTAACAAATAGGATGGCTAAAAGGAAAAAGGTAACAAAACAAACAAAAAAAAACCAGCTAGATTCCAAGACAAATGTATAAAACTAAAAACAGGAACATGCCCATCTCTCTGTCCTCTCTGGAGCAGGTAATGTGCAGCATGAAACCATCTGGTTCCCCCTTTGATGTGGTCCCCCCTCGACTGCTAAAGGAAGTT